GATGTTCAAGTAAATATTCTAAACAATCACGGTTACACTTTTCGGCCCACACAATCGATTCGTCATCACCACTCACAACAAGGCTTAGCGTTTCTGTTTGTTCGAATGTGACTCAGCCCCTGGTCGTAGGATTTTAGTGTTGCCTCACCACTGAAACAGAGATTCAGCCGAAGTTAATCATATTTTTTTCTTTAATGTCAGCCTTGGCGCGCATTCGGATGCGTTTTATTTTAAAGGGGTTGTGTGCCTAAATCATTAGTTTTTAAGAAAACATAATTTTTTCCAGAAGAAGTAAATTTTCAATGATCAGTAATTACCAGTCATTCAAGGGCATCTGTCAAATTGAAACAAGTTACACTTTCGGGAAAATTACCGATTTACATTTCCGATGGCTTACAGGGAAAGGAGACTGCATCAAGTAAAGTTTTTTTCAGTTAGCATGAAGTCTCCGACCAGTTGTTGGAAGGTGGATGCTCTTGCCTTTACGTGCATTTTGCTGCGGACTCCTCTACAGCCGCATAAAGCCTTAATGCGGAACATGTATGCGGTTTCCTCAACGATTATTAGTCTAAGCTGTACCGCTGTGTAATTTTGAAGTGTAAGAAAATGAAATATTGTTTATCACCACAATGAACATCGCCCCTAGGTGCTGCATGAGAGCTTAATTGGTCAGAGCTCATGGACTTTGATCGCCAGCCTTACCTGTGTGCCAATGCATAGAACATTTAATGTGCCTTCTTTATACCCCCCTATTTTTAACCTAGCGTCTGCAAAATGAGGGCCTTTAATTTTAGGAAATCATGGTAATTGTTGTGGGAATCATTCCAACCTTGTCATTTCAAAAAAAATATTTTTAATATTTGGCAAATCGTCTGCCTACGTCCATCGAGTTTTCATTTATTTCACAAAGCTGGCCAAATTTCAAGCACACACATGAGCATGCATTTTTATTATTAGCTTCTTTCAAAAGGTAAAACACCCCGTACTGTGTTGGACTGAGATTAGTGATCAATGTTCGCTCCAGGTAAATTTATTGCGCAACACACAGTGCTTGAAAGGGTGCTCATGGTAATCGGAAATGGGTACCATGGCGGTCTTTTTATTTGTCTATATCTAACCACTTGTATCACTCTACGCAATTGAAGATAAGTGCCACAAGGAGGTTAATTCCACAGGACTCGGTTTACAATTTTGAGGCTTTACTACAATAAGCCAGCACTAGACAAGTACCCTTTCAACTGATGAACTAATTTTTATTGTAATGACAAATTCGTGCAACTTTCTTCAATATCATTTTTTCTGTTGGTCGATGTATGTGTTTTTTTTAATTTAAGCAATAGTATTGGGCTCTCAAGAACTCTGATAAAGTTGAAAATGCTTTATTTATACATTTTTAAAGCAATCAGGTGACACGTTGTCAATTAATTCGGAAAGGGGCATTTGTTTTTTGCACGCATTTCCTCGCTAAATTTTAATGAATACTCTAAAGACAATCTGTATTTCATGAAGACAAATAAGCTGGAGTACCTTAAATATGAAGACAAAATGTAAAGTACGTGCCAGTACGTTGGCAAATTAGTATTTATTATCTCATTACTTAAGTTTACGTTCCAGAAATTCCAACACCTCAGTTTACTGTCTTTTAGAAGACTTACAGAATTTGAAACCTTTACTATTTTCCGAGTAGCATTTAGCCAAATTATTTACTGATGAATTTAGATAAGAAGGCCTAGGTACACTTAACGTACACATTTTGCCAGAATTGATGGTTACTTTCAATTTAGATGGTTGTGCATTAAAAAACATTTGAAAAAAGCAAATATTTCTGGCAAATGTACCATGAACATGAAGTGCTGATTCAAAGCCTTTCTTTGATCTGCAAATTAAAACAATAAAATAAAGCACGAGTTTTTTATATTGTTCAGAAAAATATTGAGTTTTATCTCCTTTTAATAAAATTTAATTTAAGTCAAGCAGCAGTTCAACTTTCCAAGCCAGATGTCACATTATTTAAAGCACAGGTATTCAATTTCTGTAAACCGCTATCGCAACTCACGAAAAATAGATTCAGGTGTATTCCAGTTCTGATTTGCGCGAATATTCCTTATGTGAAAGCCCCCGCAAACTAACAAGGATGCTTCTGCTCGGGTCCTCCGATAAAATTGGCAGGCCTGCATCAACTTACTTCTGCTTTTGCAGAAAATGTATTTAAACATTTGGTTGCCACATTGTTTTATAGTGCGATCTGATAATCCGAAACTGATTGACATTTTTGATTCACATTTCGTTCCTGAACGACGTGAATTTCCTAGACACCACACTTTTGAATTTCTGTAGGCATTGCTTTGTATTCTGTGCATAACGCTTATCAACTTTTTAACCTGTGCATGAGGAGTTGGGTGACACCAGACTTAGTTTCAATGCATTCAAGGTTTTGCTTAGCTAGACATGTGATGAGAAATGGCTTATGTGAAATATCCTGAAATTTCCAAATAATTTGGTTCTGCGAAAACGCCAACGATCTGTTAGAATCTGCATAAGCATTTGACACTTTAATTATGTACCTTAAAATATGAGTCACTTATTTTGAGCTTGGATGGGTAACACACATTTAGGATTCAAGTGAAATCAGTCGAGTCAAGATTCAAGTTGACCAGGAGATGCCGTCTCATGTTTAACAATCTCGCTGTCTTGGGTGCAAGCTGCATGTCTCACGGCTGCTGGCCCAGGTTGCAGACAACACTTGAACACGCTCATTGAAAAGAATCTAATCAAGGCGCCAGGATACGTGGAGTGATTGGGTCACACATTGTGTGTGCTAACCTTGTATCAGTGCCTGCCTTCAATTCTGCAATCGCTCTGTGTTTAGGGGGAAAGTAATGTACAGAATTCTACAACAAAATTAGGACAAGAATTAGTAGTGAACGTCATCGAAATTGGCAATTTGGAAGAGTATGTGAAATTTTAAATCACAATGTTGACTTTTTCTGTTTAACTCACTCTTTGGATTTGTGGAGTTTGTCCTACACGGAGAATTTTAGGTACGTTTGTAACTGATATCACAACTCATTTATTGTCACGTGATCTACGCATTTGTCTCAAGAAATTGTGGACGATTTAGTTGTCAAAAAAGACCAAATTCTGATCTTTTAAGCTTGCAAAATAAAAAGCAATTAAATCGTAAAGAAGCCATTTAGAGTCAAAATGTATTCAACAAGTGGATGAGGAAGGCAGTTCATTCTCAAAAGTGAAACTTTTAGGGTCACACTCCTAAAAATTGAAACCGAAGTCATCAACTTTTGACTATTAAATTAAAGAGGGGAGACATAATAATTGTCATTTTATGGAGTCTATTCATTTACCGTAAAATGAATGGAGCCCTCCTGAACACACAAAAATTCATAACGTGAATAGGCTATATCACCAATAATACCATAGTCACGTTGCTTTACGAGATTTATTTTACTTGCCAACAGCAAACAACGTTAAATACTTAAAAATGTTTTTACTTTGATATCGTCAACCAGCAACAGCGTACATTCAACATAGCGTGCAAATTCGTCAAAAATTTGTCCCTACGTACTCGGAAAGAGGAAAAACGGAAACTCCATTAATCCGCTAAGCTTTAATCAATGCAATTGGTTCAGCTGCTACTTAATACTGAAATTAACTAAAATTTTAGCCACATGAACAATATGGTTTACACTGATACATCGTCAACACCTAATGATCCCTTTTTAGTTAACGAGAACGACCACTAAGCCACAACGTATCAATAGTCAAATGGTAAAAACAGCTTTAGCTCAAGGTGAGATAAACAATCAAACCTCAATAACAAAAATAATGATCCAAAAATTTCTGCGCAATTTGAAGGACAAATACGCCACTTTTATCAGCGAAGGAACAAATCAATTAAAATGGTATGATCAAAAGGTAAAGACTGTAGTTGGGGAGGCACTGAATTTATTCCAGTACATAAAAGAGTGAAACAAACTCACGATTATTCAATTTTTTAATACCGATTGTCCTACAACATGGTTTCATTGATTAACATGCAGATAGAAGCGAAAAGAGTTTAAAAGACCCCATTATAATAGTGAAGTTTGATGTGGATGGCACCAAGCATTTTAGTTCTAAATGGGCAGTCATCACAGTGACTGTAGTTCTACAATCCATCTTGTGAGTCTAGAAGTATAATTTACGCATTTAGCTACTTAAGCTGGTGTTCTGAACAATTGAAACATAATTCATTCTTCTGATATTTTAGCGAACCTCAATGCAAGAAAATAATTCTGCATTACAAAACAATTATTTTTTCTTATTTTAGGTAATAATAAGTTTTAGGCAGCTAATGGTGGTCAAAAAATTACTTGTTATCAAAATATAATTTAAGAAATTAACCTGTCACTCTACTTTGATTATTCAACACTGATGACTATTGTTTGCTGCTAGAGGCTTCTGTTAAAGCAACACGCATAAAGCACACTTAAAATAACGTAATTAAATTTTAATGGGTATTTAAGTATATAGTGTTCATAAATATAAACTTGCTAAATAAGATTATTCTCACCCATGTCATGAAAACCGCTCGAATCAGTCCCCTAATTAGTGTGCAGGCTACGTATAACCTGAGTCCCTTCTGCGTGCTTTTCGTCTCGCTCGTGCGTTGTTTTGTATAATACTTTTGGCATAAATTAGAAAAAGTTTATCAGACCTCTTGGCTTTTGTCGTATAGTTGTTTATGCATTTATTGTAACCTAGTAATAGTTTCTTTAAACCGTGGACCATTATGCCTGCTCTGTTGAGTGACCGAGACGCAAATAGGTCTTTCGGTTACTTTATGCGTTTTATTTTTAATTTCCCTGCCTTAGTTATAGATATGCCATAAGCAATATTTGTATGCCTCGCGTTTTTCGTTGTTTCTTCACTAATGCCTTATTTTAATAAGTGTCATACCACATTTATAATCTACTTCTATATGGCATTTTAGGTGACACCTGATGGCAGAAGCCTGGTTTAGCGAGTCTGTAAGTGTTTCCCTTTTTGATGTTAAACTTCTCAGTGCTCAAACCTGAGGGCAGATAATCCTAACGATATCTGCGTCAACTTTCAAGAAAGTCATGCAAAAAATATTTTCGAGAAGTATTTTGTTGTCAACAACAACACTACTTTGGCGAATGCAGATCTATACGGTGCGAAGAGCCGTGTTACGCAGGAATGGCTCTCCACCGTATTACTTCGTGGTACCAGCACGGATCGTGTGTTAGCGCTTGCGTTTATGGTGAGAGCACGGCCATTATCATCACTGCAACATCTCGACCAATTGATAGGGTTTATATCCCCTCTTAAGAAACAGTTATGTATGAAAGCAATAGATGTCCTTACCAATCTCTTCGAGTCAACTCTGCTGCCTACGAAGAGAATCCTGATTTCTCTTGAGAGCCGTCCTTTTGATCGTCTCTCAAAATTTCCTGCAGTACTCACAAATGATTTGTCACTCAAAGATACTGATCGGGGTCCTGATCTACCACGCAGTAGTCGGGAATACGTGTTGGCCTTGTGGTATTTCGAACATAGATTGAAGCAGTCCTACCTTCGGTTTTTGACGTCCTTAGAGGTACAACGTCTTGTTTTCCTCCACGTGTTATTTTATAGAACGTTTTAATGAATGATACGATTCCTGTCGAGAAAACAAAAGCCCTAAGTAAGTAAATGTCAATGAACATCAGATTTACCATTATATACAGATGCACTAATAACCCTTGTTTCCAAGAAGCCTGAAAACCGGGAGGTATCATTACTTTTCAATTAATTGCGCTGATTTAGGTTGCCATCGGGATGTTGGTCAATAAACTTGGCGACCGCAGTAAAAGTTTCGCATCAAGTGTCATTCATAAACTGCGTAACTTATGTAAGTTTCGTGTTTTATTTTCCCTCACTGCGTTTGGGCAAAATGGGATGTTCATTGGGCATCCTATGATTTAAAATTTCAGCTCAACCTACTTGACGCTAATCCTCTCTAGATCGCATGGAGATTTATTTGATTGACTACTAGCTTCCTCTTAAAAACTATTTGTCTTTTGCACTCGGATACAACTTCAATGTCTTTGTTTCAGGTCGTGGTCACCCGAATCTGAAGGTTGTGCTTGTTGAACAGTTGCGGAGTCTACTGTTTCGTCCAAACTTAGTCGATCGAGCCAAGTACTATGCAATTGTGCTTCTGTCCTGCATCCCTTTCTCTAAGAAAAATCCGAAAGCCTTCGTACCTAATGAAGGTATCGCCGCCAGTGATGGGACAGTTGCGGCAATTCTCTTCAAAATATATCTTTCTTTTTTTCGAGCATCTGTTGTGGCCGAAGAACTTCCAGAGCGTCTGATTGCAGCTCTCCTCACTGGAATCAGCCGCGCTGCTCCTTATCTTTCAGGTACCCAAATGGTCATCGAGATCTTAAAATTATTTTACGCCATTCACAAATGTTCTTTTATTGTATTTACAGAGCAAGTTATGGCGGAAAATGTGACTGATATCGACGCCGTCTTTAGACTGGTTCACGTGACAACCAATTTCACCATCAGTCTACAGACGCTTAATTTTCTTTTCCATTTTACGGAGCATCAGCCACAACTTCGCGATCGTTACTATCAGGTGAGGAAACGCGGTATAATTAAACGAAAGCCTCTAACAATTAGAAGTGTCTCCATTCTTGTCAGTTATTTGTTGCATTAAATTTGTGACCATCTGAGCAATTGATAAGGCTTGGGTCATTAAATTCAATTGTTCTAAACGGAGCTGTAAGAAGTAATGCATTTTAACTTCAACAGGTGGTGGTTTGTGTTGACATTGAGAAGTTATTCATTACAATTCCGAAAGCTTTTTAAAACTCAATTGAAGTCCGGACTGTTAAGTGGCAATTGCATGCATTTGACTCAACAAGTGCGCCGTTTTTCAATCATCTGAATGCACTGGACCACTGTTTTGAAGTGTCAGTGGACGTGGACGGCAAATTGCGTCACTCCCCTAAGACAATCTGACAAGCCTGGTGCTGTTGAAGCAACCATTACGCAACCCAAAAATTTGATTCACTAAATGGCCATTTAAACTGTGTAACTAGTTAAACACTTAAATTTATTTAGAACTCTTGAACCAGTAAATTGTCTAGCGCCCAAAATTTCCGCATAATTATTTTGCACATTACCGCGGAACAAACAGTATTTTAAGTGCGTTTTCTTCGTCATTCCACACTCCCTCGCTTGTAGCGAAAGTTCCCTTTCAAGTGCCAAACAATGACAGCCAATTAGTGTTGTCACTTCCTTTTCCTGGTCATTAAACCGATGAGATCCACCGCCGACCCTTGCATAGATACTAATTCATTTAATCCATTGACATATATCATTTCGCATGTATTATTTTCGGCTTCATGTGCAGGATAGATGTGTCTGAAAATAGCATTCCTGATGGCGATTGCAATAACAATTGGTCACATAAAGCGCAATCTTTTTTAATCCTACGTTCTGGTGTTATCATTTATTGGGCAGACCTATCAGTGCTCGAATGCATTGGAACAAATTTCAATAAACTAAGGTAGTGTCCTCAATTGGTAAAGGAAAACTGGGGGATAACTAACTTTTACGACTTTCGAAAAGGTAAGCTTTGCGGATTGAATAAGTTGTAGATATAATGAGTACCAAGCCACACGCGCTCATGAAATGAGTGTTTTCATAAGAAACCAGAAGTAGATGGATTGTGAGCCCATATAGCGACGTGTTCACTGACATCAGTGTAACTTTTTTTTAACTGCGCAAAGGCGCTCTATCGCAGGTTGAATGACGTTGCTATTCGTTGGTCTGCCCGTTGTCCTTCCCTCCTGAGCCTGGTCTTCCACAGTTTACTGGCCGACGGCGACGCGGAGCGTCGAGCTGCGATTGTGCAGCGTCTCCTGTCTATTTGTTTGACTCACCCAAACGCTGGTTTTGTCGCCGGTGCACAAATTCTTCTCGAAAAACTTCGTTTGACCGAAAAGATTAATGTAACTGGTTCTGTTGGCGCCCCTCAAGTACGTGCTCGTTTTCTTCACGACCAATGCTTCCCATCCCACTAACTTTCAACCAGTCAACTTGTCCACTACCGCGATTTTAAATCGGCTTATTTCATCACAAAGCAAACTCCAACTACGTTACTCACTCCTAATTATCACTTCTGTTTGGATCGGTTTTTAACTTATCATATATCTTGGCTTTATGACTTCATGTTCTTATCAAAATCATCGGACCCAGAACGTTAGTGCCACACCAAAAATTTACATAAAGAACCTGATAATCAATCGCTTCTTTAGAGTCCAAGTTACTACCCTTTCAGACAAATGCGTGTTGGTTCCTGCCGTTTATCCTATTTATTAAAAAAAATTGTGTAACCGGGTTAATTGATAAAATCAATCTGTTCGAAGAAGTACACATGACAATTTTGCGGCTGCACAAATGGGCAATCCAACGAAGTGGACTAAATTTCTTTTAGACTATATGCCATTAGCTACCTATTTTTTAAAAGTATACATGGGTATTTGTTTTAGCTCGCAAACAAAGTTGAACTAGCAAAGCAACCCAAGCGCCTGCTGCCTACCTCAATTGGCATAGTAAAGCCTACTAATCATCACGAAAACAGCGATTCTGAAGAGGAACATTTCTCCGACATTCCGGCTTCGGATGACGAAGGGGAAGAAGCTGAATCTGTGGAGAAATTGTCGCCTACTGTTACCTCATACTCCTGGGACCACCGACGTCTGCTCAAGAAGCCTCTCAGTTCTAATTATGGCTACGACAGCAGCGTCCGTGATCCACGTTATGCGCGTGCTCGGGGTCAGCCCTTGTGGCAGCTCATTCTTCTCTCGACCCACGTCCATCCTACCATTAACCTCTTCGCTCGAAGCCTAATTGAAGGCAAAGCCTTCAAGTATACGGGAGATCCATTTGACGATCTCTCCGTGGCACACTTCATGGAGAGATTTGTGTACAAGAAACCCAAGTCATCTGTCTCTGTTTCGAAGACAAGTAAGGTTTTTTTCGTGACTGTGCAGCTATTTTTTCTGTAGTTTTCATGTTATTGTCTATGCATGTAATTAAATTCAAATTGACCGATTTATTTGCTGTGCAATGAGTCAGTAAATCTGAGCAAATGTTGATGCACGTGTAGCACTCCAGATATTACTTCGTGCAAAAGCGCAATATTCCTTCCGTCTACTTTTGTCATATTTGATCAGGATGTCATCTGCATTTGTTAATTAGCGTAATTATTCTTGCTAGACCAAACCACATTTTTGTGCCTTTCCAACATATCTCATTCGGCCAATTTACTGGAATTTATCAATGCACGTGCGATGTTAAATTTTATAACGCTCGGGCTGTAGCACGTTTCTTTGCACATTTAAAGTATTTGCGACATCAGTAGTTTACATTTATCAACAAACTAAATGATTTGTGGAATTTGCAATCACGTTTGAGATGTGTACCCGTGGTTGTGGCGAAGGTTAGTACCTTAGTGTCACCTGGGTCTTCCCAGTATCGCCTGACTACCGTCATTTAAAAGCTCGAACGTTGCCCATTGCGGCACATGGTTCTCAGAAACAGTGAAAAGGCATCAATTGACAACAGAGGTTCGGTCTACCTCCCACAACAGCGACTCGTGTCTACATGGCCGATTATTGTAGCGGGGCAAATACACTCACAGTAGTAGTAATACTACAAAGTTATTTCTAGCACACCAATGAATAAGATTACCAAAATGGGTTTAAATGTGTGGGCCATATCTGTTTTGATATCAGGCATCACGCGTGGTGACCCACGGTGGTCCTTCGTTATTGAAGAAATGCCCGACGTCGAAACATAATGTGCTGGGAGGTTTCAATGTGGATGTGCTGTCGATAAAGTTGTACATGTTGGAAAGTGTGTATGTGTACACACATCTTATTTTACACGCAGACACACACCCACACACAAGTATGATTTGGAAACAAATCGCTTGAACCCGAGGGCACGACTTCTGAATGCCTCTTGGCCAACAAGGTTGCGTTCCGAGGCCAGTCACCGAAAAATACATCGAGGTGTCATTTGGACTTTTAATGTTTATTTTTAGGTCATTCTTTTAGAGGCTATCTAGATTGACCTTGCTTCTAATGCGTGTACGCGTCCACTGATGTTTACCATTAATGACGTCAATTCGACATTCGAAGTCTCACGTTCACGTTGTAAGCGTGATTACGGAGCCAGTAAAATGGCCAAATGCGCAAGCAAAACGTTGGGGTGGTGCGACAGTGGTCACAAGGTAACATCGTGGTGTTTGCGGGTGGCGACATTCCAGGTACAGCAACTCGGCAGTGGTTAAACACGACTTGTCTTGAACATGCGTTGAGGCCCTCCCGAACTGTGACAACCTCGTTAATGCAGATGACGAAGGTGTTGTGGAGGAGAATAGACACGGCCCAGTCACGTGACAACCGTCAGTAGCACCACCTGTGGCTGGTACGCAATCAGTGGGGATTTTGGTGTTAGACGAAATCGTCAAACGGAGTTGAAGGTGGCAGAAAGCGGGCAGCTAGCTACTGTGCTGCTTTCTTGCCACGAGGAGGTATTCGTTTGGATGCGGTTGTTGTGCTTTGCTCACGGAAGGGGGGTTAGTCAGGTGTGTGTGTGTGTGTGTGTGTCAGAGAAGAGCTTGGTCAATGTGGATTGTCATAGCCCGATGGAATGCTGCTGCGGCCGCATTCACTTGGTAGTTACGGTCGAGTCTAAGATAGCCCAATTAAACTCAGTTCGTAATGTTGTTTCTAGTGTAAGAAAATTTGAATGACATTTTTTCACATTATTTGGGAAATAAAGTGGTGCTATTTTCATTATTGTCTTGTGTATTTGTGTAGGCGAATGTGTCCTAGTTTATGTTATATTTGGTTCTTTCGGTTAACAGATCACCCGTTGTAAAAATGCAGCAACCCGTTGTTGCTTAATCTACCGAAGAATCAGTGTGTGCAAGGTGTTCCCGAAACGTTCCAATCTGTAGTATTGTATATGAACGTTTAAATGCGGCAACTGATGCTTTTTTTAACGTCCCATTAATATTTCAGTTTGTTTTGTCACGAGATTCTCTGGAGTACGCCCGTATGTTTTGTTCAACTCTTTCCTTTGTCGGTGACTCAAACCCTGTTGTTGGTTTTTGTAGTCCTGGATTTCTCTCCATATTCGCTATTGAATCGACAAAGTCCTTGTTGTTTTGCCCTTATAGTCTCTCACCCAGGCAAATCGGCCAATGAGGGGAGTAAGAAGGTGGCTCATGCGAAGACTCTGGCTCCAGACAGTCTGGCGTACAGAAACCTCAACCCTGAACAGGTTCCATCCGACGAGCGTTTCATTCACAGGTACCTGAAAGGATAGTAACTTACACCTTCTTTAGCTAACAGCCCCGAGGAAGTGTTCTGACTAGTAATTCTATTAAAATAGCCTGATTAACTGCTCGAGATGAAATCTTAGTTTTCTGAATGCTGACTTGACAGTTGGCTGGGAGGAAATCCATCGTCATGGCGATTGTCATCGGTTAGGACATGTGGTAGGACACTGTTGTGCTCAAGAATCTTGTGTATTCGTGAAATTTCCCAAACTAGAAGATCGCCTAATTCAGACTTTATTATCCTCTGGGGCTATAACTTTAACCGTGTTCAAGCTTGTGGGAAAGGTCAGTTTATATTTTACTTCATTCCCCCTTTTAGCTACCTGAATTTTGTCAAGGCTCGAACGCCAAGGAAGATGGATGAAGGTAGTAGCGACGAGTCCGATCAGCTGGACGAAGATTTTGACGAATATCTCGGTGAGCTCGAAGTCCTTGTCACAAGCCCAGGTGGCAAAGATTATATGCCCTTTTTAACCTTTTACTGCTTACAAATCATTGAAGACACTTAAGACTGCGCAACTGCCTTTTAGCGAGACACGAGAAGGGCCTGATACCGAACGACGCAGACGAAGACGAGGACTTCGATGATGCCGATTTCGACTATTGTAAGCTCGCTTGCCCTACTTATTCACTGTTCCGCATTGTGCCTAGTTGAAACTGGTGGACAGGTGTAGGAAGACTGTGCAATCATGCTTCCGACACGAATTGACGGGGCACTACTTGTGTAAAAAGGTCCCCCTTATCATTAAGATATGAAGTTTCGATATCGGTTTACTTTTATTATCAATATTAAATGAAACTGAATTGGCCGGATTTTTATGGAATGAGAAAGATACCAGCGTTACTTTCTGTTGCTGGATTTAGCTTTGTTTTCTGTGAAGCAATAAGGTATTTAAGGGTGATAAAATAATTTTTTAATAAAGAAGATGGACGAGATTTCACCTATCTCCACATACACACCTCTGTCGATGTTTCCTTTGCAGTACCTCAAATTACCTGAATCACGCCATTTACTGCTTGGGGTTCTCGTCCTTACTTTCGGAAAGGTAGTAGGGTCGTGTTTCGGCTTAGCTTTATTATGTCCCGATATTTTAAAATTTTATTTCTGTTTTTTGGTCGTTGGAAGCAACTTGCGTTTGCCAACGTGCTTTCCTCTAGTCGGTGGTCTTACTTGAATAATTACTGTCATCGGATTCTTGTTTTGTAGCCTCTGACGACGATGCAAACGAGGAAGCAGAAGGGGAAGCACAAGAAAAGGCCTCAAAGGAAGGCGGTAAAGACAACCGAAAAAAGAGGAAGTTGGATAAATCTGATCATGATCATGTTGATTTCCTTGAAATGGACGATGGTACAAGTGACGACTACGATATGTCAGATGATAACTCTGATGACGACTTCAGACCTCTTAACAATAGTCGCAGGTACTTTTCTTCCATTTTGCTAGGGTTCTGAGCAGTTGTTTCACAGGCCTTTGGCTAGTTTTCGAGCTACATTTCTTACCTCAGCAGCGAACGTCTAGTTGTCGTTTTTGTAAGAATTAGTTACATAATTATCAACTTGTACTAAGTCCATTCCGTGGTTTTCTCTTCAATTTGTAGCAATGATATTCACCGATGTACTTAGCGCCGGCAGCATATTCGTTCGTCAGGGCCTAGCTCGTGCGGGCCGTTTAAAATCACATTAGCTTCGCTCTGGTTTCACCGACCCTGCTAAAGCAAAAGTCACGCGATTCTTCGGCTTGTAATGAAATGCTAATTTTAGAAGAGTATGGAAAATTCTTTCAAGGAGGAGCCTGTGTTATCTTCGCCCCGCAACGATCACCAATTCTGTCAGATGGTTTCCTTAAAGTAAAGCTGCCATTCTGCCATGGGAAAGTCCTTGTGTAAAAAGGCAGAACTGCATTTTGTATTAAAAGCTCTATGTTAAAAGCTAATTCTTCACGAAAACTCATGATTTCCTGCAAACTTTGCCAATCTAATCATTCTGTTTCGGTCGTAAACTCGGGCCTAGCGACAGTTTCTTTGCTAGTGCTTTTATCGATTGAAACAAACGGTTTGTTTTGTTTACTTGCGTGGTTCGGTGTTTCTGATTATGACTTTTGGTTTTGTTTAAAGACAGAACCATCAGTCCGACGGGAATAGACATCTGGCATTATAACGTCTTTTGTGCGTTTCCTGTGCGCCTGTGTTCGGTTGTCTGCGAAGTCGCTTTATTTGGAGCGTACAAGAGGTCTACTCGTGGATGACCTTTTAGGAAAAATTGTTCTGATGCCTTTTTAGACACAATTTCTATAGAACTTTCAAATGTGCATTTTTTCCAATTATCAATAGTTGTGTGCAAACTTGTTGAATTCCGACGCGTTTGTCTGGACCAAGCAGTGGCGGTTACCATTTGTTAGGCATAAGCCTCGCTAGGATAAGCAGACCACCGTATAATCTCTCTGGTCTACGATTTTGTGCTGTAATTAGCCGTTGATGCTAAATTTATATGAAAAAAAGACCTTTTTGGTTGATCTGATTACACAATTGTGTCCTGTAACTTTGAATAGCGTAGTATTTATGTGGTTGCGTTAATGTTTTGCGAGTACAATGCCCTATCTGAAACCTTGCAAATTTCCTATTCTTCCATGTTGCCTAGTCTTTTTGCATGCAATCAAATGCCAAAAACTGTCGTACTCTATCCCCTTCGTATTTAACTTGGTTGCATCTTTGTAGGTCAGGGAAATTTGATCTGAACAAAATTTTTGTAAGCGCGGAGGAAGTTGGAGACTTGTATGACAGTCAAGAAGTACCAGACGCCTCATCAAAGCGCGCAAAGTGGCAGAAAAGGCACCTGCTCTCTTCGGAATACGGCAAGAAACGGCTGCACCACCACAGGGGTCACGCATCCGGATCGAAAAAGCGGCGACGTTGACTAATGCGTGTGCATTCGACTCTTCTGTACAGAATTGAATAAAATCTGCGAAACTTGAACGTGTTGTGTGTAACTGGTGACGCAGACGAGGCTGGCCTGTCGGTTTTATGTTGCTGTAAGGATGGCTATTCGCGAGACCCAAAGCCGCTATATAGTGAAGATGGTGGGAGTTGGAAGAAGGCATATTAGTTTGCTTAGCCTCTAAACATTTGTAACAGGTGGGGCTTGTATTCAGTATCTGCCTTGCGATGAAACAAGTTGGTGTCCTTACTCCACAGTGTGTGCAGGTTGGTAGTGGTTCATAGGAACAACTACGTCTATATCGTTGTGTTCTGTGTGGAGAACAGTGTTTATCGTAGGTAGACTAGTGTAATCGGCGCTCTTCAGCGCCAAGTGTGTAGGCGAATCAAGCTCTTGGGAAACGTTTTTTTAACAAACCGGTGCTGGCGCAGTTCGTTGGTTTTAAAATCGTTAAAACCACTTCAAGCGAAGGTAGACACCGATGGCTAGGAATTCGTTAAAACTAAAAACAGATCGGCCGAACAGAGAGTTGAGTCACGCATAGCCATTCCACTGCTGACGCCAATCATTAGTCGGTCTATGAGTCGAGAAAGGGCTTTTCGCGTGCTCATCACCAGCTAAAGTGTGATTAGGCTAGGATTAATTATTGGGTGGATGTGAAATCTCTGACAACTAATGTGAGTGCGTAATGGAATTATTAATCCAGGGAATCTACGTCGACAAGAGCTGAATAGATCTACGTAACTGTACATTGATCAACCAGATCGACTCGCACTTATGAAGGCGTCCAAACTAAAGACTTCATCGGTTAAGCGGCTACAAGCTATTCAAGTTTTTTCCTCAACAGACGCCATCTGAGCTAGTTGGTGTGGCAATGAATTTGTATTTTTCTTTTAAATCATTGATGGGTTTGTGGAAATCACTGATCGAGTGTTCTTAATCACGATGAGGTTTTTGAATACGTCCCAGTAACCATCTGACCACTTTGCCTGGACTTCGCGTAACGCTTTTCCACGATGCGTCGAGCCAGGCTGAACCAAACAGATAATACGGTAGCGGCAGTCGTTGGTGTTATCCACGATTTTTGAGCAGAAAGGCGGCGTAAATCACTGTTCACATCATCCCATAAGTACTATGAGATACAGTCGCTATTACTTGCTTTCACAATTCAATTTTGGACAATAAATGACTCGTTGATTGAACGACCCTATGAAGAGACGGAGCAGTAAAAAAACCTTACAAGAACGTTTATTAACTTTGCCGAACCCGACAAATTGTAGTTGTATGCATGCAAAGTAATTTCTTGAATGTTTGAGGCACGTGTCGGATTCCCCTTGCACAGGGTCGCGGGTTATTAACGAACAGATCACCAAATTAACTCGTCATCTTGATCTAGAGACCACTATGGATGTCAGTCATCGACATTTTACAGCGCAGTCATGCCGTATCAGATGAATTTGAAGGGTAAAACAGGAGGCACCTACTTACCTGACCTGAGTTGTCATGTAGCAAAGCAACACCCTTCCATTAGCACATGCGAACTGCGTTTAATTGGGCTATCTTAGACTCGACCGTAACTACCAAGTGAATGCGGCCGCAGCAGCATTCCATCGGGCTATGACAATCCACATTGACCAAGCTCTTCTCTGACACACACACACACACACACACCTGACTAACCCCCCTTCCGTGAGCAAAGCACAACAACCGCATCCAAACGAATACCTCCTCGTGGCAAGAAAGCAGCACAGTAGCTAGCTGCCCGCTTTCTGCCACCTTCAACTCCGTTTGACGATTTCGTCTAACACCAAAATCCCCACTGATTGCGTACCAGCCACAGGTGGTGCTACTGACGGTTATCACGTGACTGGGCCGTGTCTATTCTCCTCCACAACACCTTCGTCATCTGCATTGGCTTTCGCTTAACCAGGACCTCTACACTAACGAGGTTGTCACAGTTCGGGAGGGCCTCAACGCATGTTCGAGACAAGTCGTGTTTAACCACTGCCGAGTTGCTGTACCTGGAATGTCGCCACCCGCAAACACCACGATGTTACCTTGTGACCACTGTCGCACCACCCCAACGTTTTGCTTGCGCATTTGGCCATTTTACTGGCTCCGCAATTACGCTTACAACGTGAACGTGAGACTTCGAATGTCGAATTGACGTTATTAATGGTAAACATCAGTGGACGCGTGCACGCATTAGAAGCAAAGTCAATCGAAGCCTAATTTGAGGATTCATGGAATCCAAGTAAACCATCAAAAACGGACAATCTAGATAGCCTGTAGAATATTGACCTCGTACTATTACACAGACAAGTAATCCGTGAGTGTATTTACTCCGCTACAATAATCGGCCATGTAGTCACAAGTAGTTCTGTGTCGGAAGTAGACCGAAAGTCTAGATGATGAATCTGTTGTTACCCGATACCTTCCCGCTCATCCTGCGAACCTTGTGCTGTAATGGGCAACGTTTGAGCTTTTTAGTGAGGGTAGTCAGGAGATGCTGGGATGACCCTGGTGACACTAAAGTTCTAATCTTCACCACAACCACGCATTTTCGTCTCAGGTGGCGAAGTGCTGGTCCAAAATAGTGAAAACCAAAGCGAAAGACTTCTTAGCTGGAGTTTCAATTGACCCCGAAATCGTTAAAACAAGCTTTTTGTCGCACATCAAGGAAACAACCTTCGTGCTGATGCTTTTTATTCGGATTTCTTGCCCACACTAGCACTGGGGTTTTCTCCATTTTAAAGGTATTATCACGCGACTATCGTTACTTTATTGAATTTAAGGGTGGAATTGTAACAAGAATAGTCACAAAACGTGAAATTTAGATAAACTCCCGTTGTAAGAATTTCTGAAGCACAAAATTCCATAGATAAGGGGCCTTTCGCTAATGCAGCACTGGTGTTGAGTAGATACACAGTTAAGACGCGGGGTTCTGTGGCCCAAGCTCATTTTCTCTCAGCACCTCAAACGTCATCTTAATCCAAACAAGTATTAAAAAATGAAGAAACAATCTAACGAAGGCCAAGCAACCTTGACATGCATTACATTATGTGGCTATTTAGGAATTCTTTTAATGTATTATGACCTCGCAGTGACAGCTACCAGACACATCCAGCTCCCCTGGAGTATAAAGTTTCTCTGAATGATGCAACATGTCACCAGGGTAAACAGTGAAGAGGAGTTGAGGTGAGCTATGGGAATGCAATATAATTCAACCACAACAAGTAGCCAACTTGTCAAGGGAAATAGGCGAGCCTGCCCTTAATTATGCAAAACGCATTTATTGTGCCCTATAAATTTTGATACGACCCCCCAACCGTCATAAGTACAGAGAGTAGGAAAAAAATTGGTCACTTTTGTGAAATAAAGTAAATGTCAACTAGGAATAGGTTTAAATAACCTTGAAAAAAAGAATCCACTTTTGTCAATGTAGAGGGAAGTACTTGACAAGAAAAATAAAAAAATGCCAAAAATCAATAGAAGAAAACATTTGACAGGAATACAAAAAGGTCTCTTAGACTAACAATGCTCCTGATGACTGGCGGGAGGACATTCTGGTGAGGTGGAGGGAGGAGCATTAAAGGGAGGTGTCTGTTTGCCTCCGGGATTCACTTCACCACGAAAAAGGCGCGCAATCATGTCGCTGCAGAGCATGGTCGCCCGACGGTAGACGGGATTTATGAAGGCGAAATTTAGGAAGGCGTGAGGCATCTCATTGGCAACTACGAGCTCGACCGCAACTCCCAGGCTATCCGCGCGTTTCGCCAATTCCAGACAATCATCAAGGAATGGGTCGAACTGGCAGGCCTGTAAGTTGAATGTGTACATTTAGCTACGCGCACGGAATCCGCATCATTTTCTAACATTAAGTAATGGCTATATTTCTGCCTCTAGTTAACAAAACACTGCCCCCATTCTCAGGTCCTATCAGTCAGAAGACATACTCGTGATAACAGAGCTTTGAGGCTGGGCACTTTGCTTCTTTAAACAGATCTCGAGCTTCAATCCCTTTACTTTTCTACACCGTTAGATTACTACTCGGGCATATTCTAGGGATTCTTTCTTCTGAAAGCTCTGAACCAGTTTGTAACTGAATTGTGAGAAGTCTATTGCCAAATACCGCTTGTACTTTTCATTGAGACCGAAGAAAAGTGCATACCATGATAGCGAGTGGTGGCAAACGGCTCATGAGTTCATCTGAAGCGAGGTAGGGGGACAGGAAGCCGTCCTGCGGAATGGGACATTGTCGGATCCGATGCAATTTAGTGTCAATACCACGAGGGAGTTTCCGCCTTTCGTCGGTTCTCATTCCATCGCTGTGGGGCGGCTTTGTTGATGCTTGAGATTCATTAGATGGTCGAAGACTACCTGTCGCCTGCTTGTCAAAATTCACTAAAAGCCACACATGAAGCTTAGCAAAAGAGTTTAGATAAGCCCGATCAAATTATTGGAACAGCCAAGTAATGCTTTTAGTTTTGCGGGTTCGGCTGAGGTGTGTGACAGCGTATCGACAAAAGCTTCCATTGACCTTAAACGGTTTCCTAATTGAAATGTAACGGCCTTAACATCGAGACCGGCAGTGATGCAACAATATGTTATGCAAAACATACCACAATCCTCATCATCCGAGGCGTCCAAAGGGGACAGGGAAAGGTCTGACGAGGACTGGCTGTCAATAGACGAAGCTGCGTCAGAAGATGGTCTCCGAATCTCGCGTCTACTTCCCACTCTGCTTGACTTGTCCTTGAATTTGTAAAGATCAGCCGGGGCCGTGACCCGCCGGGTGATAGCGCGCAGCCGGTCAAGCGGAGGGGTGGGGACAGGGGAAATGAGCGAGGCAGGTGGAAACCACGAGGACCATAGACGTGACCACAACCGCGACGACGCTGATCGAACTATTGGCGATGCTGATTGTCCCTGTTGATTTTGGTCAATCGAAGATGACGGAAGTTCAAAGGAAGCCAAATACTCAGCCTCATCAACGCCTCCGTAAGCTAGCATAAAATTAGACTGTGGTGGATCACCTATCATCAAATTATCGATTTATTTATTGGTCTCTTTAGCAGTACGTTTATGAAGGTGTCAGTGATCACTCACGCGTAAGTGCCTCAAAACCAATCTTGTATGTAGGACATTGTGAACAGCATTAACCCCACACACAAAAGTTTGACGCGTTGTTCTTCACTTTTTGTTAAAACAAACCCAAATCCACCATTTAAAAGAAAAACGCATTGCAAACTGATCAAAATATCGCAATAAATATCACAAAAGAGCATATGTGTGATAAAGGATTGGATATGCACTCAGGAGGTTTTGAATTGCTAGGATAAACGATTCTAGAGGCTAGCACAGAAACGGGGCCATTTTTTAAACAAAATATTATTATGACGCCATTAAAGTCTACCGTGACGGACTGTTTTTGTTGGTTTTCGATTCCAGCGCGCATACCCATCATTGCCTATTCGCAGAATATTTATGGCATTGGTCCGACAAATCTTTCGATTCCAAACACTCATTGTAAGCATTACGCTGATTAAATGGTACGAAACACGTAAATAAAAAATGTGAAAAGAAGCGTGAGACTTTTTAAACATTATAAATCATGAATGAACTACTTGAATTGAAAAGTCCTCAAGCAACAAATATGACGCTCAATCCAGGTGCCACCTATTAGGAAATGCAAGTCACATCGAGCCGGTGCCTTTCAGTTAAGTTTGAAAAAAATTTCAATCGGATTTTGGGTCATTAGAGGGAGACCCAGTTAAGTGGGAAGGAAATAGTCAAGCAAGGTGTGAAAGTAACTCATCAGCCACCAGGTATCGCACTACATCGTCAATTCTGCCTAAGCGTCCCCTTCATCTAGATTTTCCTTTCCATTTTAATTTTCCCTGATCTCACTCTAGCAACAGAGCCGCTGGTCGACGTTTGCGGGTTATCGGCCTTTACACATCTTAACCATAATGCGAGTTAGAGTCATCAAATTCGGAATGCACGCATAAATGCTCACCCAATATGCATCGCGAAACAATACCGATGGGCAAAAGAGGATCACTGATCGAGAGCATTCGCGAGGGAGAAGGCACGTAGGCTACAAGCGTTGGGGCATAGGCAATCATGGCTCCAGCAGGCATAGACTCTACTGGCTTCAGTCGCAGAGACGCAGCGCGCAAACAAACGCCAAGACTGAGGTTGCCACCGGCCGAGTCGCCACAAACGACCACACGCGCGTCGGGTCGGGCACCCAGGCGCTCCCGATTCGCCATCACCCAACACACCGCGTAGAAACACTCGTCCAGCGCGCGTGGATAGGGGGCCTCGGGGGCGAGGGAGTAGTTCAAAGAGAGGATGGGACAATCCAACTTCTCTGCCCATGGACGAATGTACACCTAGCAAGACGACAAACTAACTACTAAATACAATCACGGTCATCAAGTTATGAGGGCCTTTCAGCTTACAACAAGAGGGTATCAGTGATATCACGAGGGGAAGGAAAAAAATGCAAATCCATGGACCGCGTTTCAATTTACCATGGGTATTAAAGCGTGATCGTTTGCCAAACCCGGTTTCTTGGTCCTTATGGAGTAAAACAAAGAAGTGGGGTTATTTTAAGGCTGCCAAATCGGTCCGTTGACATGCGTACCAGCTAAGAGCTATTGTACGAAATGTCGGGGAAAGTTCGAAAAAAACACCATACAGAATCTAAAAAAGATCATTGAAAGATTAAAAAACCAAAAATTGGTTTCGCCTAATCGCATAAACACGGATAGAAATGTAAAGGGAACAGACAGTGAAAAATAAACCAAACGCGAGTGAAAAAGAGGTGTCTTTATTAGTGTGGCGTTGGGAAGAAGCGAGATTGAGCAAACGAGTTTTGGCTAAGTTCAGAGTAAAATGATCGGGTGGAATAGCTACATACCTAGTGATCGAAAGTGCTTACTAGAAGGTACAGAGAACGAGATTGTGGCTGTGTAATTCGCTCATGACAGAAGCATGAAAAGAGGATATTGCGCATATTTTCACAGAAACGCTGCTTACTATTGCGTTTACATTGTCGTCTGCCCCCTATTCCACATCACAAAAGAAATAGATTTCAAAATAGTCATGAAAACTAAAAAAAGGCAAATCTACTTACGTCAAGGAAGCTAAAACGACTAAATTGCAGACATTTACTTAAGGGCACCAAAACAAATTCACAAGCCTACACAGCACGGAGTTTGTCCCTGAACGTAAGGGAATGAATGAATGAACGAATGAATGCTGATCTGTTTCAGAATAATGGACAATTTTAACAGTTGATAAAGCAAACTTTTACACAATCTAAGTAGTGAAGAGAAGCACACCAAAGTTGGTCGCCTGATGCGAAACCCAGATTCGTTTGCTGACTAGGATGTGGAACAAAACGCTTCGTTGGAATACAACTAAAAAACAGCATGGATAAACGCAAATCTTGAGTTGGCCCACGCACAGCTGACATGCAGGGCGTTGACACAAAACAAGGACTACAAAGTAATTGAGAAGTAAAAGAAACAGCCAGCAAAGTTTTAGCTCAACCAGTGTTTCCTTTTGTGTAGTGAGGCACGTCTTAAACCAGATGCTCATTAACCTACAGGCGAAGTACACAGAGGTAGTGTGAACTATATGTAATCACTCAAAGAATACACAGAAAATATTACAGCGCCGATTACTACGTCACTGAATTAAAAAACGTAATGCTTGAGACTCCAACATAAAATATCATGACCCCTAATCCCAAAATCTATTTCCTAAGCTGGTGATAATTTTAAGTGAAAACGCCCACTTCAAAGGGGGCGATTTCTTTTCAGAATTCATAAAGACAAGGCTTCATAATCAGCATTTTAAAAGCATCAAAATTATCCAAAAACTCGATTCCTCAAGCCAAGACGTGAAAACCGATGACGTTGCCGAGGGCTGCCGCACGAGACGTGCGCAGTCGTAAACAGCACGACACGGGACGACAGTCCAGACCAGACTCACACTGCAAACAGGTTACGCCTGTTAAGCGACACTGGGCGTCGTCAAAGGGAATGATGATGCATAAATGCAAACAACTTTAACCACAAATGTCATCAAGTGTGGTTTCTGTGCAAACATTTTTGGCTAAAAGAAGGAGGTTGTGGTCACTTTACGATGACTGACAACACGGCTTACAAACGTCCCACATTGAGGCGAAGAAATCGACGATCTTGGAAACGAACGTAGGCACTAGGTTGACCAGGCTGGGATGCACTTTTATTTTAATGGGGCTAGAGCCCCAGTTTTTTAATTTAAATACAGTGCTTCGATAACAGTTTGAAACACATTTATTTCATTTGATTGTCAGAGCTTAAAAACCACATAGTATTCTCACACGTTGGCTCTGTCCATTCCAAATCCACTTTTTCTTACAATGACTTCCCCTTTTCCCAGGTTAAATGCCCTGTTTTAGGCATAACGAGACACAAACACAGCCTCATAGAATGCATTTCACATATTCACGCAGACCGTATAAGAGACAACTAGGGGTCAAACTACTTAGGCATACAACAAAACATGAACCACACGCAATGTAAATCTGAGGTCCGCTAGAAGTCTATTGTGACAGGAGTTGAGCTAAAGCGCAAGGTTACACACTCCATAGTTGTGCCAGAAACGATTCAATCTCGTTAATGCTAGGTGTGCTTACGTCTTTGTGTTCTGTACCCACACACGCGCGGTGGGCATTTAATTTGAATTAGAGAAGCGCCATTATCGTTTTACCTTGATCTCACAAAGATGCCTACTAAGTGGAGCTCGCTTACTTTCACGACAAAAGTACAACACCCTGTACAACGCATTAGTGCATTTACGATTAATGTTTCGAATGAATTACACGTTAATATAACCCTTGTATTTGACTATCAGTGAACTAGAACTATTTTCACTGATATAATTACCAAATAGAATCAAAATTAGCTCCTGTAAAACGTAAATATGAAAATAACGGCTTTGCGTTGACCAAAGAACTGCTCATTTCTGTATAACAGGGGAGTTATGCTTACATTCCACACATTTTCTTTGACTTTAAATTAAGACGATGTTCACTTGTATTTTGGAGCTGTTAGGGGATAGTTACTAACTAGATTAGTTGTCTAAAGACACAGCTGCGAGCGAGACATAGGGCACATAACATTGCTTCCAGTGCACCAATCTCAGAAACTGAAAGTAGATTCTACTGGAACTCAGCAGACATTAGGCCGAACGATTCCAAAACTGCCCATGTCTAAAATATATTAGATAGCAATCCTCGTTGAGAAAACGGAACATCAGCGGCCGAATGGTTTTGAGTTCAGAATTGAAAGCAATCTGTTGCAAGATAAGGAATTGCAGGAAAAGAACCTACTTGAGCCCAGGGAGCCCAGTGTGGGCATGATTTAAAGAGCATAGTTTACGTGAATTCACGCTTTAGGTTGAGACACTGCAATCGCGATATACGCGATAGATGGTTTGTAAACAGAAAATTAGGTCTTTACTAAAGCTTGCGAGTCCCTAAAGTTCACACACTTATCTGTTGTTATAAAAGTGCAAAATTCCAATATGCGAGAGGAAATTAAGCATGTGAGATGAACATTCTGATTGTTGTGACGAGAAAGACAAATCATAACGTGCGCTGTTAAATTCACATCAAGTAATTTACTGCAGTTAGGAAGGCTGATTCGCCATTAATGACTCCCAATAAGCGCTAATAATGCACTGTACAAAATTAATGAGCAAAATAAAAGAGCCAAGTCCTCAGGTGGCGCCTTTTTAATTGGCATGAAGAGATTAAGCTGTCTTGTCTGAAATTACACACATATATCCACTCATGCAGACTTTGTTACAGTTTCAAAGTGCCATAAGTCCGGTTTGGATTTTTTTGAAACACACAGAGCGCAATATTCCAGAGCATATATGGGATATGAATCATAATACCAAATTTCAACGATGCCATAGTACTTGCTACTTTTACTTTGAATTTTGTGGTTAAGGATCTAAAGAACGATGGTCAATGGTAAATGTTGAAAGAATCACGAAAGACAACTATCCAGGCCTCTGGAACTGCCGACAGAGAACTATAATATATATGCTTATTTGTCTTAAAGCAAGATATAACCCTTCAACTGAAATTATCATTTTGAAGGTCTGCGTGGTTTTTGCTTGACCCTTAAATAATGAAACATATGCGGTGGTACTACCTGCTTTGAAGAAGTGGATCTTTTAAACACTACTTATTTAATGCACGATTGGCAGGACTAAGCGGAGTTACGGTGATTTACAACATGAGGTATGAACATTTGGGCGTAAATAGCAACTGATGTTAGAGTACATCACGATAAACATCAACACGGCAGCAAAAAAGGCAAAATACATCTAGCTGTGAACACAACATGTCAATTTCATTTTCTGCAAGACCGGAAAATAGAGTGGCCATAAAATTAATTTAAAATCAATTACAGGCAAGTAGATAAAAGGTAGTGGGCTCACTCACGTCATGCGATTCCGATGACATTGCAATGAATCCGCCACCATGAATATGCACGACGAGATAGGGCGAAGGGTCGGTCTCAAGGTGTGGGGCATCGAATTGTTTTGAAATCAGGGAGGTTTTTCTCAAGGCCGCAGGTGTCTTCGGACTCTCATGTCCTTGGCGAAGGACCCACTCCATACCTCGACGACGAACTTTGCTAATAAGGCGGGCAGAAACTCCTGAATCTCCATCAGGTGGACAAATTGTCACTGTTGAGGGTCCGTTTTCACCTTAAGCAAAGGTAGAACAAACAGTGAGAGACCAGTCTTAGTGTATGTCCTTTCTCCTAATCAGGAGAGCTAGAACACCAATTAGTTGTAAATAAAACACTAGTAAAATCGACACAATTGCCACATTTATGTTAAGATTTAAATTCAATTCTCGCATTAAATCAGCCTTTGTAACATTTTGGGAATATTGGCGTCAAAACCGCACGCCTGATATTCACTAAGCTCAGGCTATCCAGAATGTGGGCGGCATTTTACACACTTCTGTTGCAATTCATTCAGGAAATAACAGAAAATAAACATAAATATGGACACATGGATGAACTAAACGATGCAAAAGCTGCAACAACTTTAAGATAATTGTATTCTGTCCACTGTTAGTCAATACAAACATCACAGGCCATAAAGTTGTCGAGAAATGAATACAACACCCTTGAACTTTGGCTTAATTTGCATATGTCGTAAACAGAATAATCGGCCGACTAATGAGTTGCTTCTGACTAGCACATAGTTTTTAAAACTGATTTCTGCCATAAACTAGGCAATCGAAACAATTATCTTAACAGTAAAGTTTCAAAGATGATCAAAATACAAAGGATAGATATTTCCAAATAGTTGCATGGTTGATATAGGAAGCGCGCGACCAATGGATTGTCAACCGAACGAAGAAAGATAAAATGGAAGCAAAGGAATACAGTTTACTATCATTATACTGAACGCACCTGAGTCTACTTGAAGGGTAACAGGAATGTTTGGCAAACAAAAAGAATGAGAAATCGCCATTTGAGGAAGCAGAAGGTTAGGAACCTCAATAAGAAGACGATTTTCTGCGAGACTCCAAAATTTTTTGCAAAAGTTTACAGTTGCTGAGCGAGTTATCTCAGCAATTCGGACACCACGCAGCTCCGGAGATAGAAAAGATGTGACGCTGCGGTAAACTGTGTTCACGAAACCCGATATTCCCGCCATTGCGCACTGCAATACGAAATATAACTAGTTTTATCTTTGAATTTCAACCACAAATTAGAAAAACTGACACTAACTACCTTTTTTTACCAACACAAATCTTTGTGACGCCTACAATAAGATGCAATGCAATACTACTGGATCTTGGTTAGGGCGACCGAAGTACTGATAAAACGATTTAGCAATTGCTAAGCAATTTCAGAAGAGACGATTCGTTACACTGGCAAATTCGTCGGTATGACAGACTCGAATGTTTAAAGATGTGTTCGTTATCACTGATTCCACGAGTGAAAGATAAATTCAGTGACTCCACACAAATATTGAAAAATCATTAACTGACACTTTTTTCATTAAATGAGGAGGACGTGACAAGAATGTCTAAGTGCACCTATCCATGGGATAGCAATTTTAATGATCATTTTCTCCACAAGACCGAATTAAGCAGGTGAACCGACAATAAGTTGACCGCTTGAAATAAAGTAGAGTTACAGACCTGATTATATTAAAACGCTGTTTTGTGCAAAAGCAAAATTTAACCTGATAGCTATCCGCGAATCCTGCCATAATGCTAGCAAGCATGTTAAAGAAATGTTGGGCAGAGGAATCCAAATAAAATGCAATTGCGCGGCCATAGAAAGCATCCTGCTGGATTAAATCGAAGTAATCCATGAGTTCATTATACCTTGAGACAGAAGGGTGAGGAGACGAGGACGATTCAGATGTGGAAACTTCCTGTACAGAACTTCCGAAGTGCACGTGAGGGCCAAGATTATCGTAAAGACCCAAAGGAGCAAGCGGCAAGTTTGCATATTTAAGATGAGGAAAAAGAGTGGTAGGTGTCGCTGAAAATTTGGGGAATTCACGTATTAAGAGAATACAGTGAGCTAGTTCTTCAAGACACCGCAAATAGGCAATGAGGGCCTGCTCTGTAGACCTTGGCCTATAAAATAAAAAAAAGTGAATAAAAAGTATCGTACATCCAGTCTTAATGAAAGCCCCATAAACTACCAGAATGCTACATAGAGAACATTAAAATTAGCGCCAAAAATCAGCTTAAAGAAAGGAGATTTAATAAAACACATTTTTGAGACATTCAGAAAAAAGGACATTCTTGAATCCTACAAATCAGATAAGATGATTGTCTGTAGAATGGGTCTTTTTTAATGGACGATAAATAAAGCAATCAATATTAATACAAATGTGTCAGAAAAAAGAAAAAAATCAAATTTAAACATTGGGATGACAAAACTCACCAAACAGAAAAGGAACGCCGGTCGAGATTGCGAAGATGAGAAAGAATCTTCACAAGACAAATGGATACGATGGCGAGAAAACTTCGAAATCCATTGGCGCGCACATCACGAAAATCGAAATTTCCAGCAAAAGAGTAAATTTCACTCAGATGGTCAATGAAGTCAGTGCCATCTAACAGATCATAGACTTCATTTAAATGGAAATGAAGCCGTGCAGTCACAGAAGACTCAAGAAACTTGTTAAAGCCAAATGAGTATTTTGTAGCCTGAATACATAATTGACACTAGAAATTGGTAGGCATATAGTGTATTTATTACCTCCTGTTTGACTTCAGCACAGAGCTTTGTTAAATGATCGCAGTCATACTTGTCAAGAATCTTCTTCGCGATATTATCTAGACGTGAAAAAAATGAGGCGATATACCTGAAAAAGACCCGTCCGCAACATGAAACGACATTTCGCTTTTGAATTGGACAACCTAGAATGCACTAATTTCTAGTGTGCAGAGTCGATAAAGTACATCAGTCCTCAGGAGTGGAAACTGTGCAGTACACAATATATACTTTGACAAAGTGTAACTCCTGTGTGCTACCAACCTAGCACAATGGAACCGGTACATACAAAGAGAAATAATAGGAAAAAACACAACGATGAATTACCTCCAAGCTCTGATTATTGTAAGTAGCAAATTAAAACAATCAAAAGTGAAAACGTAAAAAATAATTTAAATTAGTAAATATTGCCCTGGATGCAAGCTAAGTCAAATTTTTTAATGTCTAGGAAAGTAAAATAGATATCTTGATTGAAAAAATTAATTTATAATTTTAAAACAGGTTTATTGGGTGTAAACAATCAAAACACCGAAAGACAATTTGTAACAAAATGGTATTATTAGGTTCTTGACTGTATTTGCGCGTCAACTGTAACTTCTTATGTGAATGAAAAATGGTATAGGTCGATATTTTTGAGCCAGCTGAGGGCAGTGGACGTGTGTTAGTAAATTCAGACAAGGAACTGTTGGCTTTTTGGCGATCTATAAAGAAAAACGGCTTGAACTTACAAATGTGGCTACCTTACTTCAGAGCTTGTGACATTCCCAATCAATCACACATTTTCATCGTGTAACTTGTGCCGACTGAAATGTTTTATCTACCGGCCAGTTTTTTCGCTGTAAACCTGCCAATTGTTGCAAAATGCACAATGAAAATATGTGTATAAATGGAAGAAAGACTTCAAAATTTAGTTACTTTTTGTATTACAAAGAAGTTTAATCCCAAATTTCCCCGAAAATATCTCGTCTGGCGGGACATTTCTCCTACCATTCCTCAGTTCCTAGAGATCGCATAACAGCTAGGAGCTGCGGTAAGTGCCGTTTATCTACAAATTCCATGGTGACAAACACCTTGGATCCTGTAAATAAACCAATGCAACACCCAACCGAGTACAGTGAATATCGTGTTGATTCAGGTCAATTAAATATATAGTTGTACTCTCCGAGCCAGCGACTCCTTTTGACATAGTACTTTCTAGCAATGCTCGACCGTTGGTTGGCTCAGTACTATGCATGTACTTCCTTCATTTATCGTAGCAATCATCAGGCCATTCACTGTGCCATATTATAACCTCTTCGTCCCACGTGGATTGACCAACAACCTCGATAGTCATGCGTGAATTGGAAAGCATGCAACTGGTTTGAGCCCTTTAGTCAACGGTAGTCTTCGCCCTTTCCTGCCTAATTATCTCAAATTTCCCTCTAAAGTGGACCACGATAATTCAAGTCTACATGCTGGTGTCTTCAGCCTGATCAACAGTCCTGTTTTACTTGTATAGCTTCTTTTATCCTTCCTTAAAATAAAGCAACACAGGAGTGTTACTAGCACTACAAACAAAAACAAATTTACAAACTGATTTCAGAGCACCACATTTTTAATATTGATCCTAAGATACTGGAATGTGCAGGCAGATAGACTACAGAAAAGCATATTCGTTACAAAGCTTTCAAAAATGGACTCTAAGGTCCCAGAACATCACCAGTGAATGGGATGATTATAGCATAACAGAATTTAGGCCTCAATACGCTCGCAACATGAGTTAATACTGTTTGCAATCTAATATTCTACTGGAAAGCGGTAATTCACGTGGTTACACATATCCCCCTTCAGATAATTCACTTGTCTCACCACTTCCCCCACCCCCTGCGTCTCCACTGATTACGTTAACCCGCCTCGACCGAGCACACATCCCAATGTGTCTGTGCACACAATACCCAACGAAAAAGCTGTACCAACGAATAAACAATTGCCTGCGTATATGAATAATGGCATAACGTTAAACCACCTAACATGCTAGTCCCCAAAAATACCAAGACTACGGTAAATAAGAAGTGTGTATTTAAATGGTCTAGTGTTTGTAATCCAGTTTTCTTAAAAACACTTTTCCAGTCGATACTACTTGCATAATCTACAATAAAAACTTCGAATACAGAGATCAATTGGATCAAGAAGTCTTCTTTGTGGATGGCGCATTGAGGTCACCAGATGTCCCAGAAACAGTCTTATCGAACAATGCGCGCTGTATCTGCCAAAGGGAACAAAAAACGTTAAATATGTACAGGTGCTGGACGATTTAAAATAACAGTGTACTGAAATCCAGCTTTTCAACTACTTACCTTTTCCGATTGTTTTGTGGTCTCCCGTAATAGTTTTAAGGTAGTGGGTTGGCAAAGTTCCCTTAACTCAAGGGATGGTTCCTCCATAGCAACTTCCACCAATTCAACAACTGCTTCTTCTGTTGAGGCACCATTGCGTACAGACATCGCTGGAAAAAAAAATAACACGGTTAGCGATAAACGATACAGAGATGTTGACGGATGAACAGAAAAACTAAAGGTCAATTTATTTTCCGGCCAGCTAGATATTTGGGAAAAATGGCTTGAAACAAAGGCACAAAACGCAAAATTTTACAGGAGAAGTCAAAGTGGGAAAGGTGACCACGAGAATAAAAAGCCTAAAGTAAAGAAAAGGCAAGATTGATTAAAGGGAAAAGAGAACGCACCAGCATTGCGTAGACATGCATCAATAAATGCGGGCAGGTGCTCCAAGTCGTGGCTCTTAAGGTACTTGATGGATTCCCGGAGAGCAGATACACTAAGTGGATGTTGAAGGCTACCGGCAAGGTAGCTGAATGGTAGAGGCCCTGTCTCCTGTGGAAAAAAAAATGAAATTTAAGCCCAATTTCGCTACGGAAAAGTGATAGAAACAGGCAACACCTAGGACACAGGGACTACACACCATTTGGTAACTCGGCGCCTGGAAACAGAAGAGCCTACACGCCATGTAGAATGAGACTATTTAGCAAGATAACCGAAACGAAACAATGGACTGCCTGATGTGTGAGCGGTGCCATACGAAGAGCATATGGCAGTCGCGTAATAAAATTACGTGGTTTGGTTTCTCTGTGCAAAGGAAAGCGTTGCTGGGTTTGGATAGATGTCTGAAAACCTAACCCAGATAAACATGAACAAAACTTGCCTCAATAATTGGGGCAGCCCTTTCCGAAAGACCGCGATGAACCATAGATGCAGCAAGCTGTAAGCGAAGGGGAGTTTGGAACCGCCCAAGCGTATTTTTAATGACTTCAATGACTATAACAGGAGCGGAATGTGTGATAGTTTGAAAATAATGATTAAATTGAACTGCGTGAATGATGATAAATTTCTGAAAAAAATGGACACCTTTTGTAGAAACAGTACCTGGCCTCGTGAAAAATGCACTTTCATTAGTTAGTCGCTCTCCTCAACGAAAAAATGAACTAAGTGACCATAAACTACCTGCGGCATTCATCAGTAAAACTCACCAAAGTCATCTGGAAAACGAGCGATTTTTAATTTAAGCAGAGCGACCTGCACGAACTAACCCCCGTGTTGTGGCAATTACAAATGTAACTCACAACCACAGTCAACAACTGAACGACCTGATCTACAGACAATATTTACGGAAATTCGGCAAAGAGCTATTTGGACAAACGGTATGACATTAGGGTGTCGCAGAATATAAACATAAGCCGAAAGAAATTACCACTATGTGCTCAAGTAAGAGTGTGTACAGGTAAAGATGTGACGACTGGGTTTGCTTACCGTCATCAATATTCGACTCAGGCCAAGTGGCGAAGAGGGTCGAAATATGGGGACCATTCATGCACGAAGTCAAATTCTGTGAGGGGCTAGTCTTCAATAGATTGACGGCCTCGTTGTATTGCTCCTTGTCGGAGACAGATGTGGCGCTATTGGTTCTGTGAGAAAAGAGGAGGTGACAAATTACACGACACAATCCTGTCTTTAAAACGAATGATGGGCCCTCGAAATTAGCACCTAAGGTAAGACACGGCTGAGAAGATTGTGACCACAAAAATCGGATTGAAAGCCGGCACCAAGTTGCGATAAAATCACACTAGGATTTAATGGGTGAGTGGAAATTTTGTGGTCTCAGGATTAACAGTACTGATGAACAGTGGCCAGAAAATTCATTTGTAAACATGGAAGAGGAACACAATGATCTATGGTCGAATATAAGGAGTAATACGTACTCTATGAGGCGTGCAAGAGCCTTGAAAGGAAGACGGCGTTCGCGCAGCTCAGACGGCAAGCCTTCGATTACCTGATTAACTGACTTAGTCGCTCGAAGGTCCACCAAATGACAAAGAATAAGGTCGACACCTAATGCAAAACACAAAAAGTACTTATTCAACGTAAGCGCTAACAAATACATTACCGAATCGGATAACAACTTTCCAGTCATGACAATGCCTAACAACCAGACGATAAACCTATGTATGGAAAATTGAAACACGGGGAGAAGCTCAGAGACACGACTTACGACCAGGGCCCCAAAGCTTTCGAACCATGTCAACGACGATGGTAGCGTTGTCATCGGAGAGTTTACCACTAAAACAATTAAGCGAGACGACAGATTAGGCCCATGCACACAAACACAGAATTTATGAAGCAAAATTAAGGGCTTACTTTGCAAGGACGTTGGCCAAGTAAATGACAGATTCCTTAGCAAGTCGAATCTAGCAAGCAAAATAAAGTAACGAAAGATTGATGTGAAGGCAGCGCTAACATGTGCATCGTAACACAGTGTGTCGCGAATTGAGCCAAGTAACAAGGCGATTCAAGTAAATGTCCGAAAATCATGCTCAAAAAAGATAGCGTAAATTCAGTGGAAAATCTCACCGGATCGGAGACATCGTCACTAACAGGTTTTTCGAATTTCAATGAGAGTGATTGAATCTTTGGTGCGTCAGTCGGCTGTGCTAAAATGGCCAAAAGTAGATACGTCGTTAGAGAAGAGCGCAAGTCGTAATTTCGGGGCATTTCAAGCATGACACAGGCGAAGGAGTGAGGTGAGAGTCAACAATTGTGACACTTGGCAGTGTTAGGATGGAAGAGAATGCCACGTAAAATTTGATGCTGTTAAAGTGGTGCTCAAACCTTTATCAAAAGCTGACATCGCTGACGAGAGAAGAGACCGGAAAACTGCAAAAAATTAAAACCCAAGTTGAACGGACTATGGGTGTGGTCAAGGTCCAGATAAACAAGAAAGCTTGGTACTATGTGGTCAATATACAAGACATAAGTCATTTTTGAACATGAAACATTTGAGCATTGGTGGAGTCAAGCACCAAACGCTTACGAGCAGGTTTAACTTACTGACAAATAAACGTGTGTACCGAAATGTGCTCGGTAGTTTATCTGATGTTGGAGCCCATGCATCAGACGATCATGGGTGACCCAACTGGGAGATAAAATAATTGCAAAATAGGAGCATGTACAAGTACTCACCAACAGGTGTTGTAAATTCATTGAGTCGGTGGAAATTGATTGCTTCAAGCTTCACCGGGTCCAATTCCTTTTGCCTAAAAAGGCATAAGAAATAAACATGGAAGAATGTTTCAGGGAACAAAAAACTGCGGACACAAGGCTCATGCTTTTTGCATAGGTGATCAAAACGACGGATACGGAAAATTTTGAGCAACATAACGTATCACAACACATTTATCCTTTTTTTGGTCCTACCGAAATGTTGCGAAACTGTGTAAATTACTCAACAGCTAACTCCTCAATTACACCCATCTCTTGCACCTGTAAATTATTAGCAAAAAATATCCCAGCATGTCCTATTGGAGTATGTGATTTGCATTACCAATTAGCCGACACTGGTTTCATTCTGTCGATTGCTTTCTAGGATTTGGCAAATTAAGAGCAGCGATCTGCGAAAATAACCGTACTACGTGGTGACGTAAGCCCATAGATTACAACATTCTTCTAATTTGACAAAACTAAGGTACTGAACGCTGCTAGTGCATAGTAGCCTTAGCGATCCTGTAGCCATTATTCTTAAAGACTAGCACTGCCACAGAGAACCCGCTCCTTGTATCACCCACCGCGGCTACGCTGAGTTCATGCAACGAATTACAAGCGAAGTGTAGGCAACAAAAACTTGGTCAGTGAATATCAGTGGTAAAAGTAAGGAAGCGGAGTGTAACTCACTGGAAAACATCGGCCAAGCCCTTAAAAGCAACACCTAGCGAGTTATGAAGGAAAGGCAGAGCGGCTATGGCACATTCATAGAGCAAATCGCTGTTTCGTTGGTGGCAAGCCGAAAAGAGAATTGGCATTACATCTAAAAAATAATTACATATTAATTATTTAATTTGTTCGCTATGTATAAGTCTGCCATTAGAATTAAATTCTCTAAATGATTAAAATCCAAAGATACACATCACATCAACAACAATTCCTAGCAACTTACTTCGGTGGCCAGATATGAGTAATTGCGAAAGGATCACAGAACTTGCCGCTTCACGCAATTTCGATGGATCATTAGCCTGGATCCTTAAAATGAAAAATACCGCATACATGAGTAACACAAATCCTAGTTTAGATCATTTTACCTACGTCTGATGTCAATCCAAGCATAGACGAGGGAAACAGCACATCGCTGCTACCTCACAGTGACAACGGAATTTCACCAAGCTATCGACAATAGATAGGCCAGGTGTCAGAGGAAATTGAAAGAAAAACTACACGCCACGGTGTTCTTTATATTCGGCTGCGTCGCACTAGCCTTTCCTCGTTTAGTGTAAATGACATGGAACTTACGAGACCAACGCATCGTAAAGGGCTTGAGGTTTGCCTTGACGGGTGGCCTTCGAAACAGCATCGCGAAGATTTGCGTTCGAATTGCCGGGGAAAATTGATTGGAAGTAGTCAGCCCCGGTAGCAAAACCTTGCTATAAAAAAGGAAAGACTGCAATAGACACCGTTTTCTGGCGTATGTCAAGGGCGAATTTAACGGGTTTGCCTAAGGGTTTTAATTGCAATCAAACATGGACACATGAACTACGAAAGGTAATAATAGGGAGGATGTCAGTGGAACGTATTACTGGGTGCGCATGCGAAAGCCTTGAAATACGCTGCATTTGTTTATGATTTCTGGCATTCAGCTGTATTTCATGACGACATCTTATCAGTAAGAACCGAGGTTCAATAAAGCAAATGCAGCCTTACGGAATATAAGACTATTCGTTACGCTAAGACCACAACAAAGAGGTAGGGGAAGAAAAGTCGAAATAACCAAATATGAAGATGTGCGTATTGAAACAATTATCGCAATCACCGCAGCCATTTCGTTCTAACCGGACTGACCTCTGAATTGTAAATCGATTTTAAAGAAAATTCCACCAGATCGTAAAACCCATAACACCCAACAAATGATTGAGTGTAATGGATTTTGTCTACAGGCAAGTGTATGATCTGGCGAAAAGCCCATTAATCGCATTACCAAGAGTTAGTGGATCCAAAAGTGAAGGCAATAGTAGCAATACCTATCAAGTATGCAATTAAAACTGGCGGTTGTTGGCGGATATTAGCCTAACAAATACCCAAGCACCGATAATTCAAGATCGGAAATCGGACTTTGATTGAGATAGCGGTGAGACCCAAATATGGGCAAATGGGAACCGGTCACGAAAATGAGTAGACTTACCGTCATGAAACGAGGACGGGAGAACAACTTGAAGAGAGTCCTCAGGAAAACTTGGTTTGACATCGATAACCTATCCTTCAGGCAGGCGAAGTCCGCCTTCTCCCCTTCTTGGAGATTCGGTTTGGCGGCCGTCTCCATCAGATTAAAGATTAGATGCATTGGGACCTTGCGCGTTTCTAAGATGAAAGGGTTGAGAACGTGAGTAAACAATGGTACCAAACAGGTCTCAGGTAGATCGTTAGACTGGTATATGAGTCAAGCACGATTACTGTGTGAAAAAAATCGATTCTTCAACTGTGCAGAACATCGGCACCAATGATAAAGGGGGTAAAAACTCATACAAAACGATGCCACAAAATATTGAAAATCTGCATTACGATATATCATCCAAAATCACCAGTTGTAAACAGCGTATGGTGTTGTAAGACCGTGCAGGTAGCGACAAGACTGATAAAGCTAGGAAATTCGCTAGCTAATAAAGTACGAAATAAGAGAACGAATTCTACAGCTTACGATTTTCTTCTAGAATTCTGTTAACCAGTGACAACTGAGTTTCAATTGGCTGCTCGTTCATGATTTTGGCGACCATTGGGAGATAGTTTGGCTAGAAAGGAGATAAAATAAATAAGCGCCGTTTGCTTAAACGAAGCTGCCTACATATGTTGTAAAAAACTAACCCGAGAGTTCACAAGGCCAGACAACACCGCTTCAGAATCCCCAGGAAGTTTCTCAATGATCGACTGAAAACACAAGAAGTCGGATAACGGCAAACAAAACACAGAAGGTGCATATAATCCTTGATTTAAGAAATGCACATAACATAAAAAGGTTATCCATCCTAAAGCATTGAATTTCACACAATCAGCAACACATAGACATGACGCTTGCGATCCCTAACAAGCCCCGTATCGAAATTGAGAGGGTGATTAAAGACACGGTCGAATGAAGCAAGTGAAAAACACGTGGCACCCGATGTGGCATCACATTCACAGAACTGCATTTGTACTCCCAATGAGAACAAATTAAGCACGAAATGCAGGGCAATACAAGCATGGAAGACCAATGTCCTTTGAACGCACCTTTGCCTGACTGAAATCGCTATCGTTAAGGGCGCCCGAAAGAGTTAGGAGATGGGCCCGCTCTAGCGCAGTGAAGCTCTTCATGACTGAAAAAAGATGAAAAGGAAATAAGCACACGGAATTAATTCATATTGGTTAGATTTCAGCAAAATCACCTGTGTCCTTTTGTTCTGGTGTAGACGATAGGAACGCAGAACTAGATGCAACTGCAAACTGCAAATTCGGATGGCACTGAAGAAGCTCGGTAAATTTCATGTTGAACCTAAGTAAAAATCCCAGACTGATTCCAGAAAAAGGCGCTACTAAGAGTACTTAGATGACAATTAGTCTCCCGTAAAGAACCAACCGATGTAAGCAAATAATTAACAGTCAAGTGTGGGCCCATATCTGTTTGGACGGTATCTGTCAGAATCGCATTTTACTAGCCTTGACAAGTTAAGGGAAAAGGGAACATACTACAACATTTTTGACCGCCTCCTTTGTCAACAAAGGAGACGGTCAATAACGCGATTGGAGTCCTAGCGGTCTGTCTCAATGACGGGGGGATAAAGAGTACAATTTGTTTAGCACAGGTAATTTAGTCGTCATTTAAATTCCACAATGGCACGGGACAGGAGCCCTACAGAACCAACTTACTTCGATGACATAAGACCACCACAACAGAGTGCCGCAATCCAGTCCTGCCGCAGTAGACATGAGATCCAAGAGTGCACAGCCGCCTCATGTCCCGACTCCACGAGTCTATGGGCGAGCCGAGCTAGATTCAAGGGCTTTGAGAGCTGGCTGCCAGGCGTCTCAAGGGTCTGGCCGACTGCTGACCAGAAGGCAAACTGCGTCTTTTTGAAGACAGCGGGACGCAAAGTGCGCGCTAGAGCACTGGGGTCGGTGACAAACGGGTGCGCGGAGAGAGCGTTCGCCGCAGCCTCAATAGCAGCCGTCGACTTTCCTTCGTCTGAGGTCATGGCGGCGCTGACTTCTTGGAGCTGCGAAAGAAGGGGACTGAACGAGACTCCTCCGCGTAAAGTGAGTCGATCAGGGGTAAGCAGTGCTGCGGGAATCGGGGGGAGGGAATCGATGAAGACACGCGAGGCAAGAAGGGTCTCGGTGGTCTGCGGGAGGAGAGCAAGACCTAGTTGACAGGCCCAGTCACGGAGAGCGTAAGCTGCAAAGATTTGGCGATTATGACCTACAAAACGGAAAGGCAGGAAAAATAAGAAAGCTTTACTCGATTAAAATCGTGAATTTCATGTTTGCTTAACATTCCAATTTCTTAAGGTTTACGTGGTATTATTTTAAATTGCGTTACCTCAATGTACAGTGAGTTGAAGGGCCCGGCGTGTGGCCTTGAACCACGTGCCGGGTTCGCCATCTTGCTTTGGCCGGGTAACACCATTCACATACCCGAGATGGCGGAGACAAAACTGGTTACTAGATGGCTCAACCCAGTTGTGTGGTTGTGTCGCGCCACTATGTGCATAAAGGTCGTGCCTGGCAAATGGGAGTTGCTGATCAAAACAGTCTGGGTGAAAGTGTAAAAGTACAGATAACTGAGTAGCTAGATGAAATGAACGGATAGTGGAGTGGTACATGCACAGGGGTTTGAATAGATGGTTTCGCATGAATTCGGGATCATTGATATTTTGGGGCGACCTTAGTGTTATTCCTAACAGACAGCTGAGACATGAACATAATGTTTAACATGTATTACTGAGGTGCAGAGGTTACGATAAGATAAATTGATACGTGAACCCATAAAGAATTAAGCACTCACACAGCTCCTCGATGGCAGCATGGACAGTCCGGACTTTTCGCAGCTGGTTAAGACCTTCGAGACGTTTCGCCAATGACTGAAACAGGATACCCGGGGAGGTTACTACTAATAGCATATGCAAAAAAGTGTGCTTATACAGCAGGAAATAATCGGCCGTAATACCACTGCGATTTGGCAGAATTGCTATCATGTCCTAGAAATTGCGGTTTTGTAGTGCGCAAAACCCCATTTGTTAATACAGGGATCGAGCCTTGACCAAGACCATGTTATCAATTTTGTCCAATGACGTTTTGCAATCATTGTGGGAACCTAAGGACTGTGCGTCCACGTAAATCCCAAGACGGCAAAGACGCATCAGGTATAAAAATATAGGAACCAATGAACTCACATTTACCCCCAACTCAAACGTGGTGTTGGCATTGCCGCCTTCATTTCGAGCCACGGCAAAGTTGTAGGCACCCAAAACCATAGTTGGCAGAGTCACAGCATCATTTCGTAGAGCTAAGAAAAAGAATAGGCAAAGATAACGACCTGAAGCTATTTTTTTTTCTTCATTTTGAGATGGAAGCCGTTACTGAAGCTGATATCCCTTTCAAAATTTCTGGGTGTACGAAGTATAAGAAATGAGCAAAAATACTGGATGAAAGAATGAGTGGGGAGGATCGTGCCTCTGCTGATAACTATCCCCAAACTATTTACTGTCAGAAGTTTTGGGAAGTGCCTATTACATATAAGTCTGTTAGGAACGCGAAACCAGCAGGTAGCACGTAGTGGTTAAGCATTTAATTTTTGCTTTTGAACGCAAAACGCCACAGATAAGGGCAAGTGACACAGCGCAGCAGAGGTTGATTGAACTTGTGGGATGCCCATTCAAGTTAAATCCACGCAAAGCACTCCTGTGGCGGGAAACAGGGCAGGTATGAAACGACGACCCAAGTGGTAACTTGGTATAAGAAGTTAATTGCTGATTCGATTGGGGCCAAGGTCATAATTTGATGTCCTGGACTAGGCAAAACAAGAAATAACAGCAAGGAATACAGTCAACCGATGCAGAAATGGTTCAGACTTACTATCCTCCATGACTTTTTGGGCTTTAGCGGCATCTAATTGGACTGCCTTTTGGAGAATCCAGCGTGAAAAAATGATTGAAAGGTTTTGAGGACATCTATCTGCTACCTTCTTTACGAAGGAAACTAGACCATCCATATCGGACCTAGGGTAGTCAAACAAAAAAACATGATCCAAACACTTATTACAACAAATGAGATCAAGCAGTTTAGCAAGATTGAAATTACTTCCAATTCATGACGAGACGGGCACGTTTGTACCAGCTTACAAATTCGAAAAAAAAACATACGCATTGAGGTACTGTTCACAAATCTTGGCAGCGGAAAGGCTTGGTTTTTTCAGCCCGGCGACCTCAACTAGGGCCCAAAATAGACCCTCTAATTGTTCTGGTGAATAGGGTTGAACGACAGACGTCTGTTTTGAGTCCACGGATTCAGGCAGAGGAGCAGAAACAGACAAAGCCTCGCCAAGGAGATCCAGTTGGTGTTGGGACACTACTCCCAGAGGACTTGTTTCCTGTGAAATTGATTTCTGCATCTTCTGTAACTCTTCCGTCACGTCTAAATTAAACGATAGGTTCAAATAGAACAAGAATAATCGTCCAATGATTTTCGGCCAAGTAATGAAAGACGGTCAGACTAAATATGAATGACGGTTAATAGGAATTGATGAACCATACCATACATTTAGTCGATTCTACAACTTGGTGAGGTCTAATGAGTTACGGGTTGCACAGTTCAATATATAGACCTTTTCATCGACGCACGATATCCAGTCCATTTTGCATTCGAATTGACTCAACGTACCTCATTCAAGGGGGAATTTTAGGTAAGAGCACACACACACACACGCACATCCTGACAAGGAAAACTAACCTCAGTCACTGTGATAGCTCATGTTTGAGTTTTAAGGGGATGCAAGCAGAGTGGAACTGAGGGCCAGTAGCAAAAGGCACCGAGGGCGATAGCAAAGCCCCAGATGCTGTGCTTTCTCGCAAAATCCACTTAACACGCGAGGCTAGATGTTTTCATAAACGTTTAGGTTGTCTCAAAAACAGTGGTCATGATTGGCTGGAGCTTAGTTTTCAAGCGTCAATTGAGTACATGTGCATCAACCAAAATAAAATTGGCGGTTGTCGGGATTTAATTTTAAATAGATGATATACCGCCGGTTAAGGTTTGAGGCAAAACACTTTAATCACTTACAACTTATTTCTCCGGCGTGAATCCGACCAACCAGTGAGGTGTGTTTGGAGCTACAGAAAAGCAAGTAGGATTAAAAACAGTGAGTAAATGTAAGCAAACGATGGATGGTATGGTAAAAAGTTAAAACCTCCACTATAAAATAAAAATGATTTTGGAGTTCAAGAAGCTCGGGCTTCAGCTAGACAATCGCGGTTGACGGCAATAACGAGTGGGACTATATGTGACTAATGGGTTCATTGACTTCGTTTTTACAGAAAGAATAGACACAAAAGAGTAGGAAGACTTACACGTTCCCTGCTGGCATGAGACCAGCAGTAGACTCCTAAAAAACGAAGGAGATAGCATAACAGCTGCAAGACGTAAATATAACTACGAAGCACATGAACAACATACAACTGGCATATCCAATTTTTCCATATTTTTCTTTACGAGATTCAAGTACGAGACCGGGATTCTCTACAAAACAGTTGAGTACTAAAATATGAATTTTAAACGCTTCTGTTCAAACACCAACGATGCACCAAATATTGGCGCCGTCGTATAATTGCTGACGGGTGGAAACTGGGCGCCGTTTAATTCAGCGAAAGTAGAACATAACGGCCATGCCCTCAAGTGCTTTATTTTAAAATTCCCACGGTTACTGTTCCCTTCCGTGGTGATGTTGGACCGACCATCACGGGATCAAAGCAAACACGGATTTCTAAACCTCCAGTATTAGTCAAAAGTTAGTCCAACATGTTACATGCTGCAAAATTCCTGCACAAGCATGCGTGAGCTTGAAATGTCTCTGACTGGAAGAATCAAACCCAGGATTTAGCTATTATCTTAGAGCAAAACAATGCAACTTCCAGAAGAGATGAACTCAAGAACAAAAACTGGAACAGTAGCGAAGTTGTGGGCTTCTGTGTACTCTAATAACTACAGGCGTAACTAAAACTCAAATCGTCAATGGTATTTCGGACAAATGAGCGACCGACCAGAGTAGCCAGGTATTAGGGCATCAACGGCAACATGAATAACAATAACAATGAAAAAAAATTTAATCCTTGTGTAAACCTACTCTGCTTTTGAAGTAAGTTACGAGAGCCCTCGCAAGGCTCTGGCGAGCATTCAGGGTAAGACTGGCGAAGCGAGGTGAGACGGGGGTAGGGAGTTCGTCGGATTTACTAGGCGCCTCGCCCCTACCCTCAGAACAGAATTGCAGGAGCCCACTTGCTAAAAGAGGATGCCGATCTTCGGTGAAACACTTAAAAACTAAGTCTGCCCAGGAGTCCACTTTGGCCTGCGAGATACCACTTTCTTCTCCACAGTAATGAAAACATCCTCTAAGCTGCGGATTAAAAGGAACAAAATAAGTCTGAGTTGCATCACTAGCACTAAGTAATGATTCTATAATGAATTGCGTCACATTTACAAGTGGGGTCGAGAATCTAACTCGGCTGAGAATTTAGACGAGTCAAGGCATATGAGAAAGTGTCATAGCTACTAGACACAAACTAAACGTTAACTATTTGTTTCAGAATCGGCACTACCGGGGTCTGGTGGCTTCGAGTTAACCAATCCATAGGGGGTACTCCACCAGTCATACCACATAATAGAGTGGGAATATGTGTGAGTCTCAGACCTTTACTACTATTGTGAGGCTTAAATTAAACCGCGGTGAATCAAACACTGAAGGATAAAACGAAGGCGATTAGAAAATAATTCAAGCAATTCAACGATACGAAGTATCCATGAGCCTCTCCTTCATCACAAAATGAGTTCGTTTGAAATAGACTAATACACAATGGAGAGTCGATGAATAGATAACTTACCAAGAGGTGCGCAGAATTGTTATTGACAAACAAATAATCGGCGAAGGGGAGGAGATTTTCTGAGTGGAATTTCGTGTACAGCGTTTCAGCATTTTCCAAACTGCTGCTGCTTACAGGAGGATTTAAAAAACTGGGTAGTGCGCAGAGTTCATTGAGCACAATGCCTAAAGCAGCGCAGGACCTCGATACGGGGTCCTAGAAAAGGATAGTGGATGTAAAACAAATGTGTTTTCTACTAGAGATCAACGAAAAATATTTGATGGATTAAAATTACCCCAAATTTCGCTACTACTTCATCCGGTTTGAGCCCCATTGCAAGAAGACGAGGAATTACAGTCCAGTAGAGCAAATGCAGACGCTGTTTACCAAGGATGTTTCCAATCTTGACCACACCTAAGCCAAACAATGAGTATGCCTAATAGCAAAGATGCTGACTGCACACTGGCCTGTAAGCAATCGATTCTCTAAACTACAGAACACCCAAGATAATGATAAAGCAATACATTTCATAAGCATTGATGTGTTGATGAGGCTGGTATCATACAAGAAAGTCTAAACTGGAAATTTGAATTAAGTGTTTCAACATCATCCCACTACGAACTCCAGGATTGTCATTCAATGCGGAACACATTAACAACTACGACCTTTAATACAACCGGCCATGTACTTAGCTGTCGATAACCGATCCCCTCGGTAAGCTTTGATTTCACAACTAACTAGCGATGTCGGAAACATGGTGAAAATGATTGTTTGGATAATACTTACTGTCAACGTCATTCTCCTTCACAGCTTTCAGAACAACAGTGTTAGCAACGGCACCATGTAAATCTTGCCTCAGGTTATAACAGGCCTGCAGTGTTAAGATGGCATTCTCTGAAACAATAGGATAAAATCACTTAAGCTTTTCTTTTGCAACGGATAAAGGAATATTTAAAATCAGTAACTTTAGAATAGCAAAAATATGGGCTGCGACGTTTATGAACACGCCAGGACAAAGTTGCATTTACAAGATGAGGTTAAAAGAAAGAACCTCGACGAAAGTAAGCGATTGATACAATGACAAGTTAGTAGGGACCAAAATCTTGGGGGAAATACTTTCACATGCGTAAAAGCATTGGGAGACTGCAAGTTCGGTGTTCGTACAAACGATTTAATTACAAAAAAAATTTGCCAAACTATTCCTATTTACACTACGTGACAGCACGACAACCAGATCAGCATAACATAATAAGGCTCAACATTCCATTTAAACTCGATGACTCATTCATGGACACACGTTGGAGACAACAGCCATGCGGTTGGCGTGTAGATAGGTCGTCTCGACTGCTTCCAACATGCCTTTAAACTTGATTTCATAACTCCTGATAACTGTTCTTAATACAACCTTCCTTGGGAACTGAATGGTTTTCGGTAATTTATGAGTTGAGGGCAAAGCACTCAATTCGCCCTGATGATAACTGCCGCTTTGGAAAAAAAGATCTTCTTATGCGTCTCAACACAAAACGTACAATGTGATTAAAAAAGGGATATTCAGAGCTATTTGATAATGTCTTGCTCACTTAAAGTGAAATTGGAACCTGTTTGATTTAACAGAGCATGATTTTAAGTAGTTGACGTGTGTACTTAAGCACAACCAAAAGTTTGAGAAAATTGAGAGCGATCATAATATTCAAACTAATACAGAATTTGGTTGGGAACTGTTTAAAGGCGTCTTAACTGAAAACATATATATTGTATGGTTTTTCATGTCGATTAAGCAAAGTCGACGCTTGGTAATATCGAGGTAAAGTAGGATGATAACAACAACAGCAGCAACAATAATAAGGAGCGTAATGACAAAATCCAAATTTAAATCTTACCCATTGTCATAAAACGGACAAGGTCAGGCAGACGGGCAGCACTTCCTGAGCACATCCAAAAGTCATTTAAAAACTGTGACTTCTAAATAGATTGAAATGAATTTTAAGTTGAAAACCAGACTGCAAACTAACTTATACAAAATATCTTTCAATTGAAAACTAAGTGCTATGAAGTACTGCATCCAAATTTAAGCCTCAAGTAAAACTTCACAAGATTGAGCAATTTAGAACTACAACCTACAAGCCTAGGCTATAATTGAAAGGTGCCTTTGAGATATATGATTTTACCTTGAACACAAGCATTTGGATACCATGGAGTTTAATTTTGGAAGCGCGAATGGCGTGCAATTGTAACCTTTAGCTATATCCCAGATTTTAACTGAGAACACAAATAAACTTAGCAGCTGTGGATCAATATGCCCTTCAATTTTTGCTGGGCGAATCTGGGAAACATTAATGTGACAATAAACTACCTGCTCAGACAATAATTCGGGGATTTTGGATAGAAACGTGTACGAGAATTGATGCGGGCGTGTATTCTTCAGCAGGAGAAATGCGGCACTAGAGTGACCAGTTTGAAAAAGCCGAGTGACGGCGATGCCGATTCGGTAGTCGTCAGGGCCAGGGGTTCGTTGCTTCAGAAGACTGAGAATCTGACACAGTGAAACAAAATTCAAGTACACAACACCAGGGTTACTGTTAGATTATCCCGGCACAACCTAATGCGGCTGCTAAAGCGTGCATCCAGGGCGGACGTTTTACCAGACCGCATGAAACATGCCAGACTTTAACGTGTCAGGAGCTAGATGCCAACGAAGCCTGCAAATCGGCTTGAAAGAGAACGATTTTTAATACCTCAAGGTATAGAAATGACAATTATTTTGATCACTCATCAGTTTTTAAAAGCCACATTTAAAAACCCCTTTTCAGACTAACAGTTTTATAATTTCACTAAAAAATTATCGTGGTACGAGTACACAGAAAAAACCACAAAAAGGGATTACTCGCCAAGTGATCAACAATAATTTTAGTCAGGTTGAAAATCCAGTGACTTGGCTGACATGGAAGCGATGAGGAATATTTTTTCGGAAGGGCGGTTATAAACAGCTTACCTTCATCGCCGCTTGTTCATTTGCATCAAACTGTGGCGCCATAGCAAGACGTGTGTACAGATCGGCAAGAAAGCGAGGTGAGAAAATAGGGTGATTGAGCAAGGATTCTGATTTATCAAGACTCTCTTGTAGCAGTTCAACGACGCTGCTCCCATCCCCAACGTCAGCATATGCCGAGAGGAGGTCTTCAGTAGCCATAATAGACGGCCAGTAATTCAGTTTTGACATAACGTCTTGCGTGGCTGCAACTTCATCTGGCAGTCTACAATAACAAGCAGAGAAACATTGTGAGTGACCAAGTCTTAGTTTAAAATGGTATTATGAAATACAAATAATAGGTAAGTGAGGATTATCACTTAAACAGTGATAAATAACGATACCGCAAGTAATATTAAATCACGGTGTAATTAGCCTTCAGACAGAATTATCAATTAAATACGAAAAAACTGGTCTCGTGGAAGTATTATGGTGGGGAATACGCTGAGTACACATTCCAATTTAAAACCCAGAGCAACGTCTAAGTAGATTAAATGCTATACGAAGTAACCTGAGCATCTAATTTAAATTTATGGGCGTCCGTTGTGAAATTTCAACTGACTTAAAGCGAATACGTAAGATGCTTCAGCAAAATTACACCATTGACAGAAGAGATCCCATACAAACAAGAGTTCGCGATAGAAAGTATTCAGCAGTTAGGAACACAATGCACTACAGTTACGAACAAAATACCAAATAACCAACCCGCATTTGACGTAACCATGAAGGATTTTTGAAAAAATATAGTCGTTTGGCACCGCCCCTTCCTGATGCATAGCCTTTAAAAGTAGGCTTGTTGTTTCCATATCACCATTTTCACACGATTTCCTAATAAAAACAGAAAAAAATCTCTAAAAGGGTTAGAATGCGGTAAGCACATACAACGTCGGGCTTCAGACCAAGCTTCTGCAAATCACTCAACGCGTCTTCATATGATATATCGAAGCCAAATTCATATTTTAAATGCAAAAATCGTGCAATCGAAGTCACCCTCACGTCTTTATCTAGGATAAAACTATGAAAAAATACGAGCTACAAACCCGAAAGAACTTTTTTCCACAAATCATTGAAAAAAGCTTCCCGTTTTTCGGAACTCATTAGTCGCAAGTTGAGCCTGTTGCGCTCAGCTTCTTGTAATGCCGTTATCGCATTCTCGGAAGTGTTCGTATTGGTTGGTAGCTCCCGTGAGCGAATGGGAAAGGAAAAAGAAGTCCGCATAGAATGCAGAGAAGGAGATGACGCAATCAATGCAGTTCTGTTAGTGGAATAATTCACAAAGGGCCCGTAGCGCATGCGCAATGCGAGAGCCATAACGTGACGGTGACGCAAGGCAAACATCGCAAGACCAATTCTGGGGCGTGCAAAGAGAAATCAATGAAGTGGTGATTCTGGGAGCTCATTAAAACATCTAATAAAAAAAATATTCATTGCGTGCTTTCCTACTCTATCAGAAAACAAAATACTTAACCCTAGAATGCCTGATATTGATAATATACAATGCAATTGTACAACCTTTTGTTATGCACAGTTTATTCTGGTAAAACTTAAGAAAAATCCACTTAATGGCACGAAAATCAAGCCAGGCACTGTATTTTTACACTATGTTCGTTGGGTAGTCACTTAAACTTAAACCGAAATATTTTTTGCATTAAAATTAGCTAATTTTTGATAAATTTTTTTAAAATTGAGGATTGGTGATTGTTTTCTTGGAACAAGTTATTAGTATTGCAGTAAATACAAATAGAATTTAAGTTGTTAATATTTTATATGATTGCTACAAAATGTGAGCAAACTAATTTATAATTGTTGTTTTTGTTAAATGCGAGACGCTGAAAGCCTAATTTACTGATTATGTGAAATGTGAATTTATAAGGACATCTATTATGAATCAATTTCAAATTGGTATGCGACTTTATGATAGTTTATTTCGTAATACTACTATAAAAACATAGCCTTCAATTAAGAAATGTTTTGCTTGTAACTGAACCACTCTGAACGTATCTAAAGTTGACAATCTTCAGACATAATTTTGAAGGATTTAAATAATTCATTTTCAAGAACAATTAGGCTTTTTACTACCTAAAATTATTTCGGCAGCTAAAATTTCTAGTGTTTTGCACAGACACTTCGCAACTGCATCATAACTTTTTCTTTACATTACAAGGATCGATTTTGTGAAACCAGATGTCCCTTGCACGTCGTGAACAGAATGAGTTGAAAAGACAATAGTTTTAACTGAAAAATATTTCTATTGTTTGTTACTATGTAACACTTGTATTGTTAATTAGTATGTGCTGACATAGGTTGGTACCTTGGTGTCATAAAAATGCCATGAGTGTGTATGTTTTATTCGATTAGCTATAGAAGCACCATTAGTGAATTAGAAGTATCTAGGTCATGCTTTCGAATTATGGCAGATACTGCAAAATGCAATAAAAATGAGGTGAGCTGGCCTGATAATGTGAAACATTGGATCAGTATTTATAATATCATATAACAAAGGGAACTTCTTATACTCAATTTTAGTGATCATATGTTTCACCAAGATCTTAGTTTACAATGTCACCTAAAGACCTCGTAAACAAATTTGACGACGTAATAAATGCATCTGTTTTGTTACTGTCTATCTATATTGTGTTATTGTGCTCTCATGAGTGTGTCATTAGACTTCTTTCTAAAACACCTAGTGAAAATGAAGGTCGATTCAACCAACTTGCGGTAAATGAGTTGGGAACAGATTGCGTTCATGGAGGTTCCTCCACGGTTTGCTACAGACGCAATAGGCTTCCAGTGTTTAATTGTCATGTTTTAAATTCTTCCATTTACGTAATCTAGTAGAAACACATAAAGTGCTAAATATATAGTCAAGTAAAGTTGCATAGCCTGAAATTAGGTCTCAATTATTTGCACTCAGTTTATACATTGTAATTTACCCAAGCATTGTGGTTGCTTAGATAGGGCTCATTTTTCGCGGTTATTAATATTAAAAGGTAAGTTAGCAACTTCTGCTATTAACTAGATTTAATGTGGGAGAGATTAGGTTGTTACAATGTTTCATTTTTTGTGGAACCTTCATATTGCAGTAAACATAATTTGGGAAGCCGCGACTGGACATATAATAGCTATGGGTTTCTAATTCTTTAGAGTTTACACCAACACCTTAATTTTAGCTTAAGTCCCATTTGGAAGTACCACTGGAACACTGGATTTTGTCGCTGGTTGGCACATTAATGGCTGAAACCGTTTGAGTTTTTCTTGCACTGTCTTCAATATTATCTAAATTCCTGTCAATTCCTTAGCACAAATTAAAATTTATGCAGAAATGGTAGCAATTAGGGGATATCGTGGCCAACACGACGTGCCATACGCTGTATAAAAGGTATTGCTGGAAGCATGCTATTTAATTTAGGGTAATTATTAATAAATGAGTTCATAAGGATTGCTAATTTACGATAGTCTTTTTTTAATAAACCAATTAACGATTTTATTTACTGTAAATAACTAGCAGCCGTTTTAAATAATTAGGTATGTGCTTTCTATTTGAATTCGAGACGACGCCATGGCCCTCTGTAGTTAGTAGTTTTTCACCGTTTACAAAGGAACTTCATGCAATTGAACCTGATGGATTCTTATGAACAGGTGCATTTTCCATGTAAAATTTCTGCGAGAATTTCCTGAAATTCCTTTCATAGAGTCTCAAAATCACAAACCGAAACGTTTGACATGTCATTCATTTCCGATCGTTAGCGTTTTCTGATCTTCCTTATTCCGGGTTGTAGAATTGTTTCATCTTTGTCATCACTATGATATTCAAGAAGGATATACACGCATGCCTCATGAATCTTTAGTATTTTGAACATTTTCGTATCTAAAATTGCGAAATTGTGTATTTTTACCCATGAACTAGATTACGGTAGATTCATGAAAAGAAACAACTAATAAATTAGCAAAAATATGATCTTTTTCAGTGGATGAATTAATTATTCATTATAGTCCCTTGAAAGCTATTATATTTCATCCAACTAATTCATCATTCGAGTCTTTTAAGTGTCCTGCGACATTTTATGCCAAATTCTATGCAGTTTAAAGAGGAAATTTTGCCTTAGCAGCTGCTGCACATTTGACTATTACAGTATCGAGCTAAAAATTGCCAGATATGATAATTAATTAAATAAAAGTTTCATTGTGTAAAGTTATCTGGAACAAATTTGCAAAATATTCGATTTTGCTTCTTATCGGTGTTTGCAGATGTACGAATTTCGCACTATCTTTTTGGATCAAAATCCTAAGGAGAAATTGATGTGAACTCCCATCAACAAGCCCAATTGAAAGTAACAACATCCAATTTTCAATTTTGATTTTTTCGGTGCAGATAGCAAATAATGAGGAGTTAAATTCAAAGATTCATAATATGTTTTGCCCTAGTACATCACAACCTGAAGTTCTAAAAACGTAGATCTAGACTAGTTGATGGAATCTAAGGAAAAAATGTTCTCAAGGCTTACAACTTTGATGATATCATAAGATGGGAGACAGGTGCTTGCTGCTTAATCGGTTTGCGCTATTTTTAAAACTTTAAGTTCTACGCATTTATACAGTTAAACGGCTTGGTAGACCACTCACCTTGTCGACATTGCAGCCACCTCTGAGGCTGCCAGCATTCAAGCCACAAACTGCAGTTCGTTACTCTGAATAACCATTCAAACCACAACATCCTTAAAAACAGTTTAGTTAACTCCTTGGATATTGCCAACTAACAATAACACTTGAAAGTTCACAGGTAATCAAACCTTAGATCCTAGACTTTCCTTTGTAAAGATAAGTGCGCATTTCAGTTTGCTAAACTTCGTGCGCATCTGTGATTATCTAAATAAAATAGCACTATTTAATAATCAGTAATCTGGTAAGGTGTTTGCTTTCAAAAGTTATCTGTTACCGGAATATAGGTAGTCATTTAAAAATGAACCAATTCAGTCTATCAAAACAGGCCTTATTTGGCAATAGGATTGGGACCAAGCCACTGTGAGACCTCTAATTTAACCAAAAGCTGAATTTGGAAGCATTTGAAACTTTCTTCAATTCATCATCAGATAGCAGGCACGTAATAATTTTTTTTGCTAATTAAGTATTTTTTGATCATTTGTTAATTTGTGCTAAACGTAACAGTCTACTAATGAGTTCATTTTTGTAGTACCTGAACTAGTGTCTGATATTCTCTTCGTGGAACAGTAGTTTCATTGACCCTCTCGGTAAGTGGTAGTGATATCAGTGAGCCCTCTATGATTACTTATACAGGGAAAGTAAACGGAGCAAGATTGGTTACGCAGATAACTTACACAACAGTTATTAATTTGAGCTCAAGTCAATTAACAATTAACTATGTCAACAGCAAACATAATAACAACAACTCAAGACAAATCAAAAGATGCTTTTACTGAGAGCTCAGACGGTTATTACTAACGGCTTCTTGTAAATTAACTTTTTGCAGATAATAGCATATAAAATGACTCCTTCTTGAGACCAAACAACATAACATTTTATTGCTCGAGTAAAAAATATCACTTCCCTGACACTAGCCATTTCCGGTTGGCTAAATCGTGGTCATTTTTGGCTTTTGAGATCAATGCTTCTGACGTAGCTGAAGGACTACATCAAAGAATGAGAACTCGAACACCTGTTTGCCACCTGTGAGGGGTGCCATACACCCCCACCTACTGGGCATAAACACAATTGACCTGTCTGTGTGTTTAAGAGCGCATTTTTATATTTGTGGTTAATTTCATTTGGGCACTCAACGCTTTGAAGTAAGAACAGACGTCGAGTGTAGATAGTTACCTTGATAAAGAGAGTTGCTATGGGGTACAAAGTTAGCTCCGGATGGAAGTCAGTGGGCTTCTTCTTTGGAATGTTTTCAGAAACTATTCTTTTTAAAGACTTCATCACTTTTGAAAAATTATTGGCTTTTAATGGTTGAAATAAGTGGGGCTGTGGACCAGAATGACGCGAGTTCTAGGGTTAAAATATAGCTTCATTCTGACCAAGAATCACAAGATCTCATAATTGAAAACAGCTTGAGTTACTGGAATTATTGTGGTCAATGTGTTCATTTTCAACACGTTCTGATAGTTAGGCAACGTTGTCTCTTTACCACCGGTGAGTTTGCGAGCAAAACGCCTCGGATAGCATTCATTGAGACAAACAACACATTGAATGCGGCTTCAGTGTTAGTTTGTTACAAATCTGTGTGTAGTATTTTTTGGAACATTTAAATAAAATTGTCGTTCAACAGCGTTCCGAAACATCGCCTCAGTTCTTGCTATAATTTCCAGACACTTTGCTTTGAAGGTTTTTATTTTAATGAGCTTCATTATTGCAGGATTTTGTTTGAGATTCAACATGCCTGCGTGTTGGATTCTCCGGTGGAATTCCAACATTTGTGGCTCTTAGGCAGGGCACAAGGGACTGGAAATTTCGCCGAAATGTTTCACTGAGCCAAGCATACAGCAGAGGGTTAGAGACGGCCGAGCTCATTGCAAAAATATGACAAGGAACAAATACCTCGTCAAAGTATGGCAGGGAAAATTCGGGATCAGTGGATTTAATGTCGAAATAGATCCAAAGCCCGTTGAGAGGAATCCAGCAAATCGCAAAAACGACAACCATTGCGATGAGCATTCTAGTGAAAAAACACATTGAAATCAGAATATTATGGTGCATTTACTTGTTTTAGGTTATACTTAATAGAATCGCCATTTAGCGCTAGATCGAATTTTAAAATGGTAGTTTTTCAAACCAATACAACTCATGAAAATATGGGAAAGTATACTGTTTATTCAGCGTCATTAAATATCTCTTCTGGTGAAATTTGAAGGATGCAACAGGCTAGATTTGCGTATTATGTAACTACTAATTTCCAGAATAAAACGTGCTAATAGTGTACTTTTTGCGAGTATAAGGGAAAAACGGCTGGAGTGGTTTGCAGTATAGAACGTGTATGGTATGCAGGATTTAGTGTGAGCTATCGTTCAAGGTGTGCTCGTGGCTATTATTGTTGTCGGTTGCCTAGTCAAGGTCACAAACTCTCGCAGCATCTTACTTGAGAGAATTTCTCTTGTATCTGTTATCTTTGTCAACTATATCACTTGTGCATTGTACGCATTAAAGACACTTAGTTAAAGAACAAATTTAAACGGAAAATCTGCAAGCCACTACGTCACTCACATCAACAGGTGCGTATTTAGAAAGTAAAATGGTTGTATTTAGGATTTCGTTGTCCGGTTTTCTCAGTATTCACCTTAGGTTTCAGAAGAATGCCAAAATATCTCCTAATGACGAATTTTTGTTAGTTGGGTAATGTGAACGAAGTTCATACAGGTGGTTCTGGCCACATATATTACAAAACTTTTACTAAAATTTCTTGCAATATTAAAATGTCATAAAAGGTTTGAATTGAAGCAGCAGTTTGATTTAACTAATGGTATGAGTTGTTAGTAAGTCCTGAGACCTTATTTGTCCTGCGTCTATGAAGTTTGTCTTTGTATAAAAACTAAGGTAATAAAATAAAAAGAGGTATGTTTTGCGTTTCTTAAATAAGCGAAAACTTAAAACAGCATATATGGAACAGATATTATTAAACACAAATTTTTGCTTTTAATTTAACAGCCAAATGAGCAGTCGACGTTTTCTCTAGACAAGAACGGCAAAATATGCCTTTTGTGTCTGCCATCTACAAATTTTGTTTTTTCAACTTAACATCATGACTTAGCTGACTTACACATATTAGCGAAGTTTTGCCTAGTGGACTTAAAACTACGGATTTTTTATACTTAAGAAGTAAAGCCCAGAATAATGAGTTTGAGTAAAATTAAAATTTGACTTTTGAAATCCTGAATAAACCTGTTTGTTCTGCTGTGTCGTCTGGCCTCGAGATCCTGCTTTTGTGCGTTCCGGAGTCGCGATCCGAGCTTTTGCTGTAGCCGGTTCCTTAGGTGTCGACTCACGTAAAAGTAACAGAAAGAGATCACCACTGATGGAACCACAAATTGAAATACAAAACTCAGGATTGAAAATATCTAAAAAGCCGCAATAAATCACATGTATGTATAAGGTAAAAAGGCTCGCTCTAATATTACTAAACTAACAATAATAATGAGTAACAATATCCAAAATGTCAGGTCATAGATTTGCGAGTGAGTACGCTGTACGACACGTCTTTAAAACAAATTTATCTTTGCTTAAGCTGTCACTGATTGCATTGAAAAAAAATAACAAAACAATATAAAAGTGATTTTTGCAGCAAAACCATTGTGCTGCCTGGAGCACGGTATTTGCAGACGTGCAAATTTAATGTTTAAATGAATTATTAGGAAATGGAGGCCAAAAATGGGCCCAGCAAAAAGAATATGTATGATTTTAAATTAATAAAATATTGGGAAAAAGTTTTGATCATTACATTAAATCCCTTGTAATTTTAACGGTATCTTCACACATTCAGTTTAATGAGCATAACTCATTAGGTTTGATCAAAAATACAATTGCGATTGAAAAAGCGTAATCGAATTAACCATTGGCAAATACAAGAATATTTGACATAAATAATTGATGACATTTTTAACAGGAGTATTAATATACATTGCAGCCTATTTGCTTTCTTTTACGACAATACTTAAATTAAAATGACCAATTATGGAAATGTCTATACCTACAGAATAGCTTTCTAAAAAGGTTTAATGTGCGTGCAAATATGGTCCTAAAAGTTTTTTTAATAAAATATTTAAAAATAGTTCCGATGTTGGAAGATTATAACATATTCTCTTATCACTTCAAGGGCGGATGTTTCGAAGGTGTTTGAGCTAATACCAATTCAAAGCACAGTTTTGATGTAACGAAGTTAGAGTAGCTGAAAAGGGTGACTTCAGCAGTTTAATTTGATACAATAAATTTCTCTATAGGTCTGTTTTGATAATTTAACATTTAATTTCTTCTACAAATAAACAAGCGCACTATGAATTCACCAAAAGTTGCAGAATTACACTTTTTAATGGCATAGTGACTTGTCTATTTTGCTTTGCCGAAGCAAATTTGTAGACAACAATGGAACATAATACGATGCAGATACCTAATTGCCTAGACTTGTGCACAGCTGACAAGCAAGCACTATCTTCTAACGATTTTAAATCACAGGATCAGGGGACTTTGTTTGCCTAGACTACAGTAAACAGTTCATAACTTGGATGATTGGATATGCAAAAAAAGCGTTTTGCAATTGACGATGTTATTCATTTCTTTATTTCTTACTAACTCAATTTGACGGCATTTGATACTTTACAGGGCTGCTTATTGCTCTTTTAACTTCAGCTGCCCTACAGTCTGCAACTTGTTTTATTCAAACTTGCGTCCAAATTTGAAGAAAGTTTTGAGCTACATTGAATCAGTCTCATGCGAAGTTCCACGCGACTATGCACATTGCTTATTATAAACACCAAGCATTTTACGGGGGTGAATAAAAAATCTAGTAACATATTGTAAACATCTTTGTTACTTATTTCAATAAATTTAATGTTAGCTTCTTTCATAAATTTTGGCGCACGTCAGGTGTTGGTTTTCTAGAACATAAGTCATGATTGCTGTTTATTGGTCGGAATGTGTCGAAATGGTTAGACATTCTGTTCACACACGTAAGCAAAACCTGTGTAGTAAAAAATTGTCATGTTTTGTTAGTAAGACCCCAGACTATGTAATTTCTTGTAAACGTCCATAATCAAGATAATACCTATGAAAAATCTGTCGTTACATATACCATTTCATTAAATTAGGATACGTCTGAATTGTGTCTTAATATTTGGCTGATTTAAAATAATATAGTTAAAATATCTGTTGGTATCAAACAAATATTTTTAGGGCAGCATTTAGCAATAGGACCTTTAATTAAAGTCTGAATTCATTTTAGCTTGCTTAGTTTGTTTAAGGAACTATAAATGTAACCACAAATGTACCATTAAGAAGAGTTTGCAGGAATCAGGTATTCATTAAACACCTAAGTTGACACCGGCATTAATATACTTCTTTTTTAATGCCAATTTGGTTTTGCTTCATAGTTATCTAGGACTATTGATTTGTATTGTATTGTATTGATTTGTATTATTGTTTTGTGGTAATTCAAGATGGTGTCCTGAGTGTAGATTAAGTTTTTACAGCTTGACGTGTACCTTTCGAATAGCAAAAACCTTATTAGCATTTCCACTCAGTGTTTCTATTTCTCAGTTATAAGTTCCTGGTATACCTTTACTCGGATAAAATATGCTCTACTTTTATTTAAATAGTAAAAGGGGATGGCACATACCACAGGCAATCTAAATCCAAGTAAAACATACGGTGACTCAGTATGCGGTTTACAGTTGCCAGAACCGCGAGTTTCGATGGGTTAAAAGGCATTCGAGCATCTTCTTCATTAAAAATCGATTGGTCTTGCTAAGGTCGTGTTGGATGTGATGATGTCAAATCATGCTGACTTCGCCACATGAGTTCTCATTACTTCATCAAACTTACAGAACTTGTTTCAACAGAAAAAAATGTATATAATGGAACTCGTATACACTGCAAATTAATGATAAAGTGATGAGGCTTTGTGGTTCATAATTTCATTGGACTTTTTATAATACAAACTTCGTTTTTCTTATGTTATCCATGCAATGACGTCTTTGACACTGCTAAATTGAAATCATGCAAATTTTTGCACCACTTTCATCTGCAACAGTTAAATTTTAAGCCACTACAATTGACTAATTTTATAGCTTAGTTAGATACTCAACACATCTAACTTTCACGCAGACACGTTTATGGCAGACTAACACAAAATCCTGGAGCTCGCTGGGCTTAATCATCAGCCCAGTCAACTTGGCCGCTTAACTGCAAATATCTATGCAAAGGCGAAACCTTTTTATGCAGCCGGAGGAAAGGGAAAATCTTTTAAAACTGCTCAAGCGCCCGATTTGCATTTCATGGCCGTTGTTTTCCACTTTTGTTTGTGGGTTAAATTTTTAGAAAAGGTGATTTAAGGTAAATGCAAACTTCAGACGGTTGGACATGTCCCCATTCGCGTCAGGCACCTGTCGCATTAAATTTGTGACCATCTGAGCAATTGATAAGGTGAAGAACATTAAATGCACTTGCTCTAAAAGGAGCTGTAAGAAGAGGTGATGCATTTAAACTTCAGCAGATTTCAGGTTTTGTTGACTTCGAGGAGACATTTTTTGTTATTCCGAAAACTTCTGAGATCAAGTGAAGTCTGGACTGTTAGGTTACAATTGTATTCACTTGACTCCATGTGTACGCAGTTTTTTAATAATCTGAATGTAACGAGAATTTATGTACTACTTATTAACTGGACCACTATTTGAAGTGCCAGTGCACACAGACGGCAAGCTGTATCACTCCCCTTAAAAAGTCTGATTTCTCAAAGTCGACAAATCTGGTACTGTTGAAGCAACTGTTACGCAACCTAACACGTAGTGACCCAATATCCCCAAGGACTAAAAACATGCTACACATGTTCACAATACATGTATATGCCATCCCTCTAACATTCAATGTGTATTTTCTTCCCAAAATGACCCATAGCTCGGAAGTGGTTCCAACCTTTTCAAACTTGTTCGCTTTCCCAGAATAAGTATATGTCTAAAATGTACCCGACGATCTAAATTCTAATTAGCAATAGTTTACCTTTCAAATATACGCCCTTTAGATAAATACGACATTTTAGTAGTTGATTTTATGCTTTTCATGATAATTAAAAGCGTGATCTGGAATAAATTCTCGCGTCGGATAGCCCTAACGGATTTGATTCGATTATTTTATTGTACATTAACTTTACAATGAAAATTGTGTTCGTTCGTATAAATATGCATTGATTGAAGTTATTAATGTCACACTAAAGATATCCTGGAAGAAAACCATCGAAAGCCCATTGCACAGAATTCGGATATTAAATATTTTGAAGTTAGGAAGAATTTGAAAAATTAATTTTTTCCTTTTTTCCTATACCATGGCTCATTGAGAGGTCATTTGACTTAGTTAATCATTTATTCTTTTATCTTTTATGTATGAGATGATGCATTTGTATATAGATGAACTTTAAACCACGCTGTGTTTTGTAGTCTGGGCACTAACTTAAGTAAGATTCCAACTGCGTCCATACTTGGGAATCAGACAAAATCATTCTCCTTAGTTTCTGCGTATTTTGTGATGGACTAATTTTTAACTTTTACTTAGGACTGAGTTGAATGTCAATGGAGAACCTACTTTGATTAAATATAATATCTGGTTATAAAAAATAATATGTCTGAGTTTTTTTTCAATTTCACTTAACAATATTGCAGTGTGGCTTTGCAGTATGAATAATTCAGCTTAATAAGGGGAAATTTATTTACTTGTTAGCTCATAGATTAGACTCAAAAAATTATATAAAACATATTACCGTAAACACCATCTGGCGGTCACACAACTGACGACGTAAAGTTTTGTCAACAATGATTCGCTAATCCCAGTAATTTATTTTTTTCGTTATTGCAACAAGTACTTATTTTTAGGTTCACAGACAGGCTGCATTAAATACAATGTAGCCCTATATGTGACAACGCACTTGGTGATACTATACTTTATATAAAGGCTACGATGTCGATAATATATAAAAAATCTGTCTTATCGTTCTCCTTATTCATTCCTAATAATAGCTCCGAAACATCATTATTACCGAAATAAACGTATGATTTATTCACCTTTTGAACATTTAATCACGATAGAAATGTTAAACAACCCACTCTAGATAAAGGTTCAGCCACAAACTCCCATAAATCGGACAAATTCTTTTCATGAAAATATCAAGAATAAACTGGATCAGGTAACTGGAATTATAGGTTTCCAATTGCATAAAACTTTTGGGCTATTTGTATGGAAAATATCGTAACTTAGAGCGTAAGCCTTCATAAATATGTTTTAGATATTTTAAAAGTCCAGGAAGTCGCTAAACGTAAACATTTTTTTCAATAAACTTAATACAACTTCACCGAGATTTTTGTAACACACTACTATGGAATCTGCAAAATATGAATAATAAGCAAAGTTACACGATTGTACCTACGCTTTGAGTAGTGCATGTTTCTTTATATATAAAACTGGCACAAAATCCACTTAAATATGGTTAAATAAAAGTACTTTTTAAGAGTATTTGAACTTTGTTTTTAAAAACCCAATATGTGGCACATTTTTCCTAAACATCCACAATATTTTGCGAGGAAACTGAAGAATGCATCGACGTCCTTCTACTAGGTATTCACATTCATAACAGAATATTAACAATACCTAGCCAGGGCATCGTGAGCGCTCCAAAGATTTTAAGAACACTGTTTTTTTTTCAAGAAAACAAATATCTTTAAGTAGTTTTATCAGAAAATCTTCAAAAAATAAACCTAAATCCTAATGGAACAATTTAATCCAAATATTTAGAAAAAGTTATACATGATCACGCCTACAAATCATTGAAATATTATAAGATTGAAAAATGGCAGATAGTCAATAAAAAAAGACTATTTAAACTTTCAAAAGTACTTTCGTCATTTAAAGATTAGTTATAAGGCTTATTTTAACAGTCGAGGTAACCAAGATAATTCATATCATAACCTGCAGATATAATTAAATTTCGTAAATATTTCGGTACCTAAAATAACTGTTGCTTCAACATATGAATGTATTGATTGTAGTTGTGATAATCGATCCGATTCAGTCCGAAAAAAATTCAAAAATACTAAAAAGATAGCAAGCCAGTGTTTTGGTAACGCATATTACATCATGATTGTACGTTAGAACATTAAAAGCCGTTGAAAATATCAGAAGATAATAGACCACTTAGTAATAATAAAGAGATAGAGCCAGATTCAGTGAGGAGCCGTTAAATTATGGGAACATATTGCAGAATAACTAATGGCATTACGTCTCAGATGCTACCCTACCAAAGCTACCATGGCCAACCATGCTCAGAAGTGATCTTACTCAGACAATGATCAGATCAGCATGCCTTATTAGCGCGTTATTCGGGATCATTCCGTGTCAAAGAACCTTCCCCAATAACTTCCTCCCATGTTCTTGAATTTCATCTCATCTGCACGGTTAATGCTCATTGAGGTGAATGGACAGCCTCTGTGAGGCTTGCACAATGTCGTCGTCAAAGCGACTTACGAACTGAGGGCACTCGTCTATAGCATGATTTTTATCGATTTTCTTTCCTCCGACTTAACGGAACGGGATTGTGGTGAAATGTGCTTGCGTGTGTGTGTACTAAACTGCGTTATTCGGATTCGTTTTGTTGGGATACTTCTACCTGCCTTCTGGCGAAACGCCGTCGAAGGCTATTAATGCCTCGAGTAACCCTTCAAACGATCACGTCAGACATACAGCAATGTTTCACAGCATCCTTCCTGTGTACGCCTGCTTGGAAGTGGACTGTGATTGGTTCAAATTCTTGTTCCGATAAGTATCTTCATGAAGCCATGGCATGCAGTAAAATTGAAATGCGAAATGAATATTCTAGACAGTCATTTAATTTTGCGATAACGCGATTAGAAAATTCGTAGTGAATCCAACCAACGTATCCAATATTTTGGCAACTGGATCTTGCCCGTTGGGGATTTAATTTAGAACCTTGATGACTTAAAATAAGTCATGTTGAGTTCTTTCTGTTTCTTTGTTTTTTTCCTCTTGCCAATTATTGCTTAACTTATCACTTGTTTACCTCATTTAGAATCAAGTTAAGATTCACCAAATTACCTCTGATGGATAAATTTATTTGCCAAATCCAGCCAATCATGTCTAAAGTTGATACCATCGAATATGATTCATGGAATATCCTTGTAAAAAACCACAGTTTTCATAGCCAGTTTAACATTTGCACTAGTATGAAAGTAGGTTAACTATGTTATCTAAAAAACTAGTTCACATTTTGCAAGCCAAAAATTCTGCTATAAATAACCAAAATTGTTGCTTTTGCTACGTCGTCTACCGTCTGCCACTCCCTGATCTCTACTTTTGCTCTCTCTGCTCACTTATGCGTTTTACAAATACATTTCAAAAATTCTACTGCCAAGGGAGCGGTTAACAAATAAATAACTAAAACACCATTTTTATTAGTTCATGTGTAACATGAAAAGAACCTTTTCATGCACTTTGTCCAATAAGCCTTCGTTCGTGGGGAACACCAAATACAAAAATGTTGATGTCTTTGAACAGTTCTATACGATGGAACTAGATGGCGAGATTATTTATTTCGTGCTAATGCAATTTTTTTTAGCGGCAACGTGGATTCCACACGTTCATAGTCGATGTGAGTCACAGCGTCCAACCAGTTGTTCCTCTACACTTCTAAGCAGGGACTCTCGACAGTACAGTGGTGGCTTATCCTGTTGTCTAAATATTATTAAAAGAGAATTGTGATTTTATGTCACTATTTTTTTTTAAAAATAATACGAATTAAACTTAACTGAAATTTAAAGTAATGCAACGTACCCGCCTAGATTCGCCCTGAGGCCAAGACTCAGTGCAAATGGTGACATTTCGGGCGGGGTCCACGGTAATTTTTTGGTGTATGGCGAGAGGCAAGCAGATGAGCGTAGAAATTGCCCAAATTGTTGCAATAATTGTTCCGCACATCCAGTTGCGCATTTTTGAGAAAAATGGATGCACAATAACAAGATACCGATCCACCGCAATTGCTGTTGATGTTAATGTGGAGACGTAGACTGAAACGCCCATTGTAAAGCTGAGTAGCTTACAAAGGATCTGTGGTAACACCCAACTGTCAAAAAACGCAGCGATAGGAGTAAAGGGTGCTGCAACAAGACTCATCAAAAGGTCTGACACAGCTAGATTTACGATGAATAAATTGGTAATGGACTGCATCGACTTGAATCGGAGAATGACAAGAATCACTATAGTATTTCCGACTAGACTGAGCACTATGATAATACCGTAAATGGTAAAAACGGCTATATTAATTAAGAGGGACTTTTCGGAGCTGAATAGATTCACGGGTATAACTGTACTGTCCTCCATTTTGTGAAAGACCTTCTGCTGAAATTTCGTCACACAGAAGACAGAAATGCCTAAGCTTTCTGAATGTCCTTATCTGATTGGACAAGAAACCGGTTTGTATTCGAGAGCTCCTAGCCAATTGAAATAGAGGTACATGTTCAGGTGAGCAAAGCTAAACGAAGATTTTTTGCCTTGCATTTAAGAGTTGTATATTGGGTACCAAACAAGTGCTTAATACTTTATTCTAAACGATTACTAGAATTTATTGGTGTTTTGGTAACTAAAGTGTCTATGGAATTCAAATTATAATTAACATCCTAATGTCGTTTATAACATTCCTAGCATTGTTTTCCAACTTCTGTTGAAAATAAACTTTATGCTCCGCTGAATGCCTTAGTAAACATCCTTATGAAAATAAACTCAAATGTTGCGTTGACTTTATTTCCGTTCTTTTGGGGCTCCTTCAAAAAGGAAGTAATGGTTTGCGCTTTGTATCTTAAAACCACTCCGCGGTTTAACTTTAATACCACACTTTCAAAAAGGTATCTACGACTATTGGGAATATATGGCCAAATTTTGACAGAGCCTATTTCCCACACGTCAGTACTCAGGCAGTGCGTGACCATTGACATATTTAACCACTTTTAACTGAGTCTTTAATCGTCAGCTATCCTTAAAGTGCGTCAATAAAACCGGCACCATGACTGTCAGATAATTCGTTAATATGCATCATAAACCCCCTATCTGATACGTGTGAATAAGATCGTTTTTCCTGAAATGACTCAGGAAAGTGTTATCACTATTTTTTATCTCAGGTTCAAATAAGCCCAGTTAGAGAGACTAACGACGCGAAAAATTTCGAAGCTACCACCAATGGTATTTATAAAATCGAAGAACAACCGATAAGTTAAATTTTAATGCGATTTTTGTAAGATATTTTAATTCTGAAAATTTGGTGGGGATATTTGTTAATTCATTTTGATTAATTCAATTATTAAGATAAAATCATAATTAATTTTTAACGATTCGACTTCGCATTGATAAGTTAATTGTCGCCTCTGCCCCCAACACTTTTGTCCTTTCTTCGGTGAAAGATTTGAGGCTTTAGTCCTTGCGATCCTTAGGCCAAGTTTATGAAATAACTAACACTTTTGGAGCAATTAATAGCAGCAAACGAAACACAAGTATTTTTTTATTTACATTTTTAACTCCAGCCAGGTATATCATTTTACATGGCGTCACTTTATCGCACCCAGTCACATATGCATCCTCAAGGGAGTATCTGCTATCAAACTTCCGCAAGCTAAGTGTAGTCCCATCGATCTCTCCGATGAACTCCTCTTCCACTGTGGCGTCGTGATGCGTAACGAGAATACCCTTAAACAGTCTCTTGTGTAATTTCATTTAATTGCCTCTCATTAACAGATTTATGTTCCTGATTCAGTAGACAGAAATAGCTTAACCCGTTCACCCACTTCGCAAGGGAGCCTGCCTTAAAAACTAAGTTAAAACACTTGTAATCTGATTAATGGAAAATAACTTTACTGGTGTGCGTGTGCTTTGACAGAGAATGCCCCCGGGTAAAACGTCGAAAGTAAGAGTCACTTGGCTCTGTCTGGCATGTCTTCATGCGTCATTCACTGGCTATTTCTTATCTACCTTGTGTTGCAAGAAAAATCCCATTGATAGCTGACTTCTCTGGCAAACATGCGAGTAAATCCATCCGCGTGGACAATTGTTTACAAATCTAAGTGACTCTTTTTGGCAAATTCGGGATTATGCTTTCTGGGCGTTGTCGCTAGCCCCTCTTGCGTTCATAAAAAAACCAGATGTAAAGTTCTACGAATGCACTTGTGCAAACGCATCATCATGCGCTCTCTAAGGTGATCGAAAGTCTGTTTGCAAATTAAGGCATTCTACATGACTAATGAGAAACTACAGAACTTAACAACAGCCGAAGGTTCTACTACACAGTGTTACTAAATCGATGCATCGTGCAAGGCTCCGACTGCTCAATTGGCTCGGAATTCTACATAACTCTGGAAATGTTAGCATTCATCGATTTCTGGGCTGGACTTCATTTGCAATCAACTCCCACAAACATCGAACCATCAAACTTAGACTCGCCATATCATATCTCATGTTTTAATAATCATTCTATGGCCACCTAATCAAGTAAGCTTCAGTAAAAAAGGCTTGCAAACTAAAAAATCAGCATCTTTTGAAAAAAAGGTGGTGAGTAATCTAAAAATCAAGTTTTGGTTCCCATACTTAAACTAAGCCCTAATTGGGCCAGCACAAACTAAACCAGAACAAACATAAATTTTAAACAGAAAAAAAATTGTCTAATTCCTAAGCAGATTTTTTTAAACACGTGTGCCATAAATTAATTATTTCATTCTTCGTAAGGCACTAACACGCACACGCTTGCTAGTTTAAAAGTCCAAGACAAAATCCCTACGACCACCTCCAGCTGGACCTTCCTTGAACGCTTGTCGTTTTATTTGCATGATTTCGAAACGTTTTGAATCTTTACAACTTGATAATCGTTTTTAGCACTACTGACAACTGGGTGCACTTGCCAGTTGATTTGGATTAGAGTTTAGAACCTCACAGAGTATTCACGGGTAGCAATTAATGCGTGACATTGAGAGAATCTGTTGAGAGCGTAGCAAACAACAGCCCCACTGGATGCCAAATAATGGTGAGGCGCTTTGCCTTCCCTAGCCGAAAAGAGGATTGATGTCCAACGGAGAAAAAGGCAAGAAACCGAGCGCATGAAAGAATACTCTTTTGTCTTAGTTGTATGTGGTTTTAAAATAGGTGGTTTGTTCTTTCAGCTTAAAGTGCGTAAGTCCAAATAGATGCTGTTTATCCATGTGATTAGCAACGCCAGTGGATAATCGGCTGCAGCCAGTACCGCATTTGAAGACAATGTCTGCCAACGCAGACTAACACCCTCACAGAGTTAATAGGAAGCATAAACTTGACTTTTTAAAAAAAAATAACCTTAAATTATTGGCCTTTTTCACATCAAAAATGAGGCTGAGGGCTGAAGCTTTGTACTTAATGACTCCAGCCAAATTACCTAATTTATCAAAGTAAAAGCGTAATGCATGCTATTCTGTTTTATCGAAAAATCTCACAAATTAATACTCTATTCCACCATTTATACTCCTCCAGTTAATTTAAGTACCGTTATTTTCCAGCCAATGTCCACTGCTGATGATTGATAAGGTGGAACTTAGATAACGCCCAGAAAGTGTAATAGTTTTCAACACAGCATTGAAGATTGATGTTTCCGAACGTACTTATTTTATTTTGAATAATCTCTAGTTACCTGTGCTTTGAAAGTAGCTTCGGGGTGCTTCAAATGCATTGCTGTGAGTAGGTAAGTGATCATCAATGTCGGATATAAGCATTCTACTCATAATAATCAGCACATCTTAACAACTCTAGGTGTCATTGTGACTCCGCAGGTCATCTTCCTCTTCTTCTGGTACCTACATGTTGTAGTAGGCTTGATATGGATTCGAGTGGCGCAACGAAGCCATGTTAAGTTTCAATTAGGCAAGGAGTTCCAGACATGAAGGAGGAGACCAAGGGTTTTGGGGACGGAAGCGCAAATGCTACCCGGGCTGCTGCTACGGCCGTTGATGTATACGAGAATACATGGAGTGCCAACCTGTAAATGTGCTAGATGTAGAGTTAGTGTAGGTGATCAGAACATGTGCTGGTTTCGATGCTTTAGAACTGCAGGACAAGTGGGGACTATTAGTGTCAAGTCCGCTGTTGTGAATCGTGTTTATTCAACCCCTTAATCCGATCGCTTCGGCTCCACTTTCTCGCAGCATGGCACCAGCCGCGCAAATTCTCAAATTCCCTTCATTTACACGAATATTTATCTTGGGTTAACCTCCCACCTAGGTCTCGATGTTAGCGCATGTATGACTTACACATCCGAGGTATAAATACACACACGCAAACCCCACACACGACACAACGACACCAACGTGGTTGAGCTCTGAAGTAAACGGTTGTGTCTACGTCCTCTTCGGTCTTTTCCTTCATCGCGGGCATCAGGCAAGCGTAATCAGACCAGGGTTAATTTTGTGGCCCCGGCGTGGTTTACGACCACATGCTGGGGCCCACAACAATTGGTGACCCCGACGTTGGACGAATATCGACCTTTTGGTGCCCGAAACATCGACCTTCGTTGTACTAAAGTTTGGCAACCTATTAGCATGATTCCGCCTTTAGGTCCCTATAGGTGTGAGCCCACGGTCACCCTACTGCTGTCAATTTTGGTTTTCAGGTTTAGTTTGACTAATTTTACAGAATTGACTAATGTGAATAAAACTGCTGTTATTTAATAATTGCCCTAAAGATGACATCTCAAGTTTCACCTCGAGTATTTCAAGAGTACTACTCTCGCCCATTAGAAACCTTAATCCTTATTCATGTAGAAGCAAGTTCCCGAGTGATTTAAGGTTGATAATGACAATAGTCGATACTGCGACATTAGTTGTAAATTAATATTGGTAACTCGACAACCCACCTGTTAAATTTATTAGCATGCCTTGCAGATTCTTGAACTCTGCTAGATGTCCACCGTTTCGTCATTCGGTTTTGTCCAATTTTCAAGTTTGTGCCGTAGGAATTTGATTCATGAGATTGTGTTATAAAGTATTTCAGTACTGTTTCTTGGAGGCCACTTTAATTCGCGCACACGTTAGATGATTACTCTTCCTAAAGAACTCAACCTAACTCTTACCAATGTACTTTTACATGTTGCTTGATCATTAAGACTGCCGAGTGGGTGTCACCATTTCAGCATCGAGTCGACCATTAAAAAACCATTGCAGTGACATTTTTAATGGAAACATATTTTTGTGATTCGAGTGATTTCGGTCCTTTTTATTTTGCCAAGAAGAACCTTGAGAGTTTAAGGAGACAACATGGCATCAGTTTTGTTCAGAGTGAGTTCTAACTTCGTGTTATTTTGTATAAAAGTGACGAACACCATGGGATAGTTATTTTAAAAGAGCGCTTAAAAATTACACAATTTTATAAAGCATCTTCCCTAAACTACTGAAGCCCAAAGTAACTGTTGACTAGGGTTTGTCTTCAGGGATCAACATTGGAAAAATTAAGATTATTTTTCGCATCGATGGAAGTCGACATTTGAATTCACAGAAACACAACGTTAGTTTAAAGGATTAGCCAAATTTAAACATAAAACTGCAACATTTAGTCTTTTGGTAAGGATATTGTAACCGCCACTGTTTTAACAGAAAATCTTCCTTACAAGCAACCTTTCCTAGATTCAACTTCTTGGGGATTTTGGAACATGCCTTTATTCTTGAAAATAATTTTAAATTTCTGCGTTGCTTCTTTTGCAAATTGCATCTCCGTAGGGCCTCTTGATAGTAGAACTGTGGTCTTACAAAATCTCATGGCAACAGTATGCTCTACAAGCGAACTCAGAGAACTTAATTTGGAATCGATTTATACAACAGGATAAATAAATCTGCATCATTGATCGCAAATGAGTCACGTCTGCAGCACTTTTTCGAGTTCCGCATTAAAAAAATGCTCAGTGAATTCCCCTAGCCAGCGCATTTACTGGGCCTCATGCTAATTTTTTTAAAATGGAGGTTTACGAATCTGTTATCTGTATAAAATTGTTTAATTCAAGGGGTAACGACACATATGTTCATGTGCGACATGAGCCACCCAGTTAGAAAGTTAATGCATTCCGATTGGATAAGAAATCCACTTGCCACCAACATTGATGATCAAATGAAGTGGGTTTCCCTAGTGGGTGATCCAAAATTTTTTAAAAGGCCTCACAGGTCAAAGCAGCCGTCCAAGTCTGTAAAATAGCCCTGAAACCTCTTATCAGCTCGAGCGGAACAAAGAAAAACCGTCCGAGTGATAGGAATTTCAAGGATTTTAAAGGGTCCAATATGCACATTACGCTCATGAACAAAATTGATCTGGAATGTTAGTATTTGAAGATATGATACTAGAGAAAAAACCGACTTACATTCCTTCTTACAGTGCTCAAATTAACTTGCTCAGTTCACAACGAGTTCGAGTCAGAAGGACAAATTTAAAACCTAGAATTATCCAGTGAATGCAATTTACCTTTTTAGACAAGCATTTTGCAGGATTATGGTGGATGCTGCTAAACATTGCCCTTCATTGGGGCAGGCAAAACCAGTTTAAATTAGGTCTTTAACATGCTCAGCAAGCATTAAAATATTAATGGGTTGTAACGCTTACGTGTTAGAGCTTGTAGAGTGAAATAAAACAATGGCGTAAAGGTCGTAATACCTGCCAAATCTCAACACCACAGACATCTATTTATGCGAATGTGTTGTAGATTACATCTGAGTGCAAGAAATATTTACTCAAAATTGCCGTACCGGTTTTTCTCGTTTCACATCCTGTTTCTTATGTTGCGCGTGACACTCGGAATTGGTTATGATGTGATGAATCAACGCATGCTCAATATTTGGGTTTTATTCGAAGGATTGAATTAACATTATTGGTCGTTTATTCGGGTTGAATTGCTACAGTCATTTATTACTACGATTAAGTTGTAAAAAAAGCGCATCTCAACAAGAAGAGCTCTCAATCACTGGCCAATCACTTGTCCACATTATCTAAAACGTCCCTCTACTTCACCTCCTCCCATCCTTGCCCCCTAAAACTGCCAGTTTAGCGCGTCCATCAATGAGCCCGCGGTAAGCCCAAGCTTGTTCCGTCCCTTAACAAAAATTTTGTTAACAACGCGCCTGAGGGAAGTTAAAAGTGGCGTAAAACGTTCACTAAATCGGGATACAAATGCGTTGCATTAAGTTTGATGTTATTCCTCGTGCACCAAGCTCCCGAATGCTGCCGTAGTTTTCTACTTTTACGGTTCCAGACCAAGTTACTAGAATTTTCTCATGGTATGCCTTCGGATATTACGCTAAGTTATGCCAGTTTCAGCGAAGATTATGATCACAAATAAATCTTCCACTAATCACGCTTATTTTAAAATCTTGCAGTAGCCCATTACTCTCGTACAGCCTGATAATTAAGAAACATTGAGCTTCCATCAGAACACAGACACCTAACAGCAACTCTCAGAAGAGCATCTAGAAACAGAGATGAGGAACAGTCTTGACGAGTTCCTACAACTCTACGATAAGCACCGACGGTTTGAGAAGGCAAAAATAATAAAAATAATACTATTATTACTATTACCAATATTAATAATTGCAGGACGTTACAGTACCTTTGGGCTTACGGAGGAGCTAAGTCAGTTCCGAGTGACCCTCAAAAATGGGCGGAAAATGGACATTGGTAAAGTGTCGCGTCACTGATTTACTGATCGTTTTATTTCAAATTCAAAAGCAAAATTTAAATGCAACATTCAGATACTAAAAAAATAAATCCAGTTTATTGTCCGTCATCGGGAGATTTCTGTGGCCCACCGTTGCCACTTTTTCCATTACTGTTGGCTGTGGTAGAGTCTGAGTTAGTTGAATTATTGTTGACTCCTGCGCCGGTGACTGGACTACTAGCCGATCCACGATTACCTGAAATTTCGATGCCCGCCGTGGTTGCCCCAGTCCCCGCAGCGACACCAGCAGCTCCTCCTGTTCCCCCACCACCTGCTCCGGTGCTGGAGGCTGGTAACTGTGGCTGATTGGGGAGTGACAGCTGTTGCACTAGTATGTTGAGGCAACGTTTCGTGGTAGGTTCCTTTTCGATAAGGCGCGAAAATGTTCCGTTGCGCAGGTGCTCCGGTAAACAGGTGCGCAAAGCATCGCGAGCTCTGAGAGACAGGAGAGTGACACCAGAAAACGGTGACTTCGAAATCGCGACATTTTATGCCCAAAAAGCATCAATGACTATACTAATCCATGGGCTACTAAGTGATAAGAGGTGAGCCATGGTGTTGGAGGAAATGTAGTCTGACGAAATATTATTGACAAGATGTGAGGGCAAGTGAAATGTAAATCTCTCGCATTAACTATTGTGATAAGCCCTCAACAAGCAAATTATTGAAAGACATGTGTGCAAAGGAAAGTCAGTCACGTCAACCAAATGGTCCGTTGAGTATGGATACATTCAGTTCACTGTAACTGTTTGATTCCCACAAAAATGGACAGAAACCCACCCGATAAGTATACCTTACAACGAATGAAAATCACTGGAAAGAAATGACGAAACCTATAATTTTGAGACTAACATGCCTACAGAGCCAACCACATGGATATACCACAACAACAATATTTCACCTGCCTCCGAGTATTTAAACGGCTATAATAAAGTGTTCATTTCATATCACTCATTTCTAACTGAAGGGAATCAAAAATACAGGAACAAAAACAGTTGCCCAAAGCGGCGGAGATTTTCCATTTAATAAAAATCTATCAACACCAACTAGCTCAGATAAAAAGCTCACGACATTCAACAAAATGGGCACAAAAAGCTTCAAAACGGTTTGTCAAAGTAATCGCATATGCTCAAGAAAATCATCCATACCATGGCTTCATGAAGGTACCTATCGGAACAAGAATTTGG